TTTGATTTATAAATAATATATAAATATTTAATTACTTTTAGTTCACGAAGATGATCAAGATGATCATGACATGCAGAAAATAAGATTGTTTCCTAATCATACATCATTTTTTGATGGGAGCAAATATTCTGAGCACATACATATACCAGTATATGTACCAGATCGAACAAGTGTAAATGTTATACTTAAACCGCACTATCCTAAAGATATAGTTTATGCCAATAATATGGATATAAGTATGGAGGAAATTAGAGCTCAACATTATCTTCTTAAAAGGTATTTTATATTTTTATTAAATAAATTTATTTTTTGTCATTGGCTAATGCTTTTGAATTATTATATAACATGACGATTTACATGTCAATCTTTTCAGTAGGCAAAACCAGGAAATGCAGAAAAAGTATTCTGATTTAGAAATAGACGATAAATGTTCCAGAAATGTTGATTTACAAAATCAGCAAAAAATAATGGAAAGAGAACCTCAAAATCCAAATATTACATTGCAAGAATTACAAAAACATAGGCACGACTTTGTACAACAACAACAACAGCAACAACAAAAAATGGTACAAAGACAACATAATCTCGAGCTTCAAAGAAGAGAAGTGGAACATTTAGATATTGAAAGACACAGAATTCAAATTGAGCAACAGGAATTACAAAGACAATACGAAGTTGACAAGCAAACGTTAGAGAATCAACGACAAAACACAAAGCAGCAGCAAGAATTAAAAAGATTAGAAATTGAAAAGATAGAAGCTGAACGAATTGAAGCAGAGAGAATCAAAGCTGAAAGAATTGAAGCACAGAGGATCGAAGCACAGAGGATCGAAGCTGAAAGAATCGAAGCACAGAGGATCGAAGCTGAAAGAATTGAAGCACAGAGGATCGAAGCTGAAAGACTTGAGGCACAAAGGATCGAAGCTGAAAGAATTGAAGCCGAACGAATAGAGGCGCAAAGAATTGAAGCAGAAAGAATTGAAGCTGAAAGGATCGAAGCTCAAAGAATGGAAGCTGAATTAAATACGCAAAGAAAATTACAAACGAGTTATTTGCATCCGCATCATACGTCATCTTTATCAACGGATAATGAAGAACATTTGCTTGGGCAAAGTCTCACAGTAAATACAAAGGAAGCAATATCAGCTGTACAAGATTTATGGCATTCTCCAAGTATTACTCCTGCCACACCACGTTTTCGTAATCCCATAACACCTCGAATGACAGATTCTAGAACAAAATTATCTTTTGACATTCATATGGATAGTTCCATGACACAGCATGCAATGTCTAACAAACATCATCAAGGATTTAATATACAACCTTACGAAGATCAAGAAAATCATCAAAGTTTTCATACTTCTCATCAAAGTTATGTCCCTCCGGCACAACACACGCCATATGGAAATCATGGATTACAAAATACTTATCATTACCCAATACCGGTATGATAATAATTTGTATATTTAAACAACAAATTGCAAATATATATAAAACAAATAAAATAAAAATAAACTTTATTTCAGCATCATGATCAGCAGGTACAACAACTGTCACATCATCCACACCATCAAATGATGCACCCACCTCAACAACCACACCAACAACCACACCAACAGCAACACCAACAGCAACATCAACAACCACACCAACAACCACATCAACAATCACACCAGCAAGCGCATTCGTTGCATCATCAATCCCTTTCTCAGTCTCAACATCTTCAATCGCATTCGCAACTTCACCATTCGCATTCGCAAATTCATCATTCGCCACACAGTCAACATTTGCAACATCAGCAACATCATCCACACCATCATATGCAACAAATGCAACATCCTTCCTTTAGCAATATGTTACCAAATGATATCGGATATCAACAATATCCACCCTCATTGGATCCAGCTCTTTTACAACAAAATTCCGAACCTCAAAAACCATTACATTATTCGTCGTTCAACGAACCTAACGTCGAAGCTAACAAACCTTATAGAATGCCTCCTGAATTACCGTATATCAAATCACCAGGCATGAATCGTAGAGATTTAAAATATTTGGAGAATGCTGAAAATAAAGAAAATGCTATTGTTGTTGATTATAATGGACCACCCGAAGAAAACATGCCACCAAAATTAACAGAAGAAGATAACTTGTATACAGATGATAATCTTGGTATATCACCTTTATCAGGACCTGACGAAACTTGCTATACCGAGGCATGCAATGCTTTATTAAGTAGTTCTACTCCTATGACTAATCATTTTAGACTATCGCATAGACCAAAGGATGTGCCAGAATTTTCAAACCAAAATGTTCCACATCACACGTATGTAGTTTCCTTTATAAATATATATATTTATAATAATAAAAATATACTTCTATAAATCTTTTTTTCTTTTAAATAGAATTCCAGATGTACATAATGGTAATACAGATGAAAAATTAAGCGTCATAATGGAATCAACTAGAGAATATGTTTCAAGCAGCTCAGCATCTAGTGCCAATACAAGAATAGCTGCTTTAGGTTTTACATTAACAAGAGAAGAAATGAGTCTGATTAAAGAATCGAGTATACGTTAGTATATATTCATTAGTCCTAAATTAAATATTGTGTAATATTAACATTGATCATATTTTTGTTGTTTTACATAATCCAGAACAAATCCCTAATGATTCTATACTAGCGGGCAATCCACCGTACGAACAAAAAATGCGAGCTCAAATTCAAGCAGTAAATGCTCAAAGTCCACGCACGGTACAACGAAATGTGGATCAAATAACATCTGAAATAAAGAACAATTGTGACTTACGAAAATCTATTACCTTTAAAATGAACAGTGAAATAGACAATCAAGAGAAAACAACGGATACTATGGAATGCGAAGAGCATGAACCAATGGAACAAGTGGAGGAAGAAACCTTTCAACTTCCTTCTGGAAATATTAATCCTTTTGATAAAAATTTAATTGCCGGTCTTTTGAGAAACATGAAATTTCCACAACCGCAACACGCAGAAGGATATGTGAGACTAAATACTAATTTAAATAAGCTTGTGCCTTCTACTATTATTACGCTTGGTTAGTAGACTATAAATAATATTAATATTATTATTGTATAAAATATATTAGATAATGAATTCATTTTTTTGTTGTTATTTTCTTAAAGGACCAGAAGCGTATAATTTGGAAAAGTGCCTTGGGAAAGGAATGTACGGAACAGTTTATAAAGCAGTAAATATGCAAACAGGTCAGACTGTTGCTTTAAAAACCCAAAAGCCTGCATGGGTTTGGGAATATTACATTGTTAGGGAAATAAAAGCTCGCCTTACAAATGCACATATGGTATGTACATGAGATGTGTGTGCGTATGTGTATATATAGTGTGTGGATGATGTTAAATTAATGATTTTATTCAATTACCATTTTATAATTATTGATATTTTTGATGAATGTCATTGATTACAGCTTCGAGGATTTATGGATGTTTCAATAGCTTATATAACAAATAACGTCAGTGTACTAGTTTCCGAATATTCCAAATTTGGAACATTATTAACAGTAACTAATCAATTTAAATTGTCCACTGGTAAACCATTGAATGAACCACTTGCTATTTTCTTTACTATTGAAATGCTTCAAATTGTTGAACATTTACATAAATGCCAAATTATACATGGGGATATAAAACCGGATAATTTCTTAGTCATGCGATTGTAAGTAGTATTTTTACATTTTTATTAATGATCGTTCGTTAACCCCCTTTTGCATAGAATGACCCGTATATGGGTTGCTAGTAATAACAAGCGGATTGAACAAAACAAATAAATAAATTACATTTGAATTTGAATTGTATTTTTGTTTTTTTTATAGACCAACAGAAGATGTCAGGCCAACGATACAATTGATAGATTTTGGATGTAGTATAGATATGAGCTTGTTACCAGATAAAACAACGTTTACTCATATCATTAAAACGGAAGAATTTACGTGCATTGAAATGCAAACTGGTAGGCCTTGGACGTATCAAACGGATTTATATTGTTTAGCGGCAACAAGTCATTGTTTGTTATTTGGTAATTACATGAGAGTGTCTAACGTTGGTGATCGTTGGTTTATAAATTCTAAGTTACCGAGGTAAGAAATAATTTATTAATTTGAAATAATTTAACAATGAATTTTTCCAATGTACTTAAATACTTGTAATGTTAACTTTGAAAAATCTTTCTCATTTATTTATTTATACACAGATATGCAAAGAAGACTGCTTGGGAACCGTTCTTTACAGAATTATTAAATATCGAATCGTGCGAAAAATTACCTGATTTGTGTAAATTACGAAACGTAATGGAGGAAGCTTTACCACCTGTGCCAGAATTGCAATCAAGGCTTAGACATTTCTCTAATATACTCAACAACCGATAACGCTTACTTAATTTGCTAAAACAGATATTATTATTATTATTATTATTATTATTACTATTATTATTATTATTATTATTATTACTATTATTATTATTATTATTGCCCGATGTGTATAACACACATTTAGTAAAGAACCAATGTTTAATAAGAAACAACAAGATTAATATTATTGTGCTATTTATTGTAAAAATTACTATAATAGAATGAGATGTATGTACTTTACACAGTTACAGTACATGAAATGCACGTTTTATGAGAATGGCCTGCTTTGTGGAGGAGAGAGGCTTTATTGGTTTATATAAAATATTGCTTGCACATAATCAATAATATTAGAAGCGTCAATTTTGATTATCTGTCAAATGTTTAATCATCAATCTGTTAAAAAATTAATTCTCTTTTACCGTAATTTCGTTCCCCCCCATTTTTTTTCATTTTATTAATATTATTATTATTATTATTATTATTATTATTATTATTATATTTTAATCATTTTCATGATCATAATAATATGTCTTTCAAAGTACCTCGTGTGACATATAGTACCTGGACGTTAGAATGTGTTGTGTCACGCAAAATATGTAAAAGAATAAAACAGAGAATAATTGTATTATAAGAATTTAAGCAAAAGAAAGACAAGAATAATAATAATAATAATTTACTTGTGACGATATTGATAGTACAATGTTCGTGTGATAAATGTACGAATGAAGACACATTAAACATTTAGAAAAGGTGTAATTGCAAATGTAAAAAGTTTAATCTCTCACCGACATAGGTTGCATTTCGTATTATACTCGTATATATCCGTCTCTCTTTACTTAGATGACTAATATATAAATATATATGTGTATGTAATAATATTTATAATAATAATATATATATATATAGGCTTTATAAATATATGTTTTCTTTCGAATCTATTTTTATCTCTCTTTTTGTTTTTTTTTTGGGGGGGGGGGTAATTTTTTTAAATGTCCAAAGCAACTTTTGTATGGAAAAGAAGAAAAAGAAAAAATACAAAGAAATAATGGAATATGTTAAAATGCCAAATATTGTCTAGTTGTTCGTGGCACATTTTGTTTCCATATTTTTTTTTTTTTTTAAGTATATATATACGTGTTAAACGACGATATTAAATGTAAATGAAATAATATGTAAAACAAGAAAGAGACAACATATGATAGAAAATGTATTAAGATGTTTCATTAATATTCTTATGATATAAAATGATGAAAAATTTGTTCCCCTTTGCTAAGATATTTCTAAGAGCTTCTATTTTGAATGTGTGCAGGCTTATTCTCTTTATTGGTATCCACTAAACAGGCCTTTTAAATAATACATTTTTTAAATATAGAATATGAATATGTAAGTAAGAATATATATATGTATATGTATATGTATATATATATACATATATACAATAATATAATAATGAAATATTTCAGGTTTGTGTTCAAATCATCTCTCCCATGTTGAATTTGATAAAAAAAAAAAAAAAAAAAGCAAAAACAATAGGCTAATTATATTTAAATTATTTAATATTCATAATTATATCTATATTATATATATATATATATATATATATATATATATATGAGCCGTTTATTATAAAAGTGGCATGAGTCACTTGTTTCAAAATATTTTATTATTTTAGAAATTCGTGCCAACTTTCACGAAAATTTAACTTGTATTCGTTATTTCAGATATTTCGATTTTTTCTTCAATATAAGTTCATCATTTCGTATACAATATCACACACACACGTACACACAAATTTTTCATTACGAGACAATTTACACCACTTTTGAGATAAACGACTCATATATACAGAGATAATCATCGGCAACCTATTGTTTTTGCTTCATAAATCATAATATTATATGCCTTATTTCATTTTGGATGATGATGATGCCACCCACATGTGTGTGTTTTAAATTTACATAATATTGACCATTTATGTTGCAAAATACAGTTGCAATTAATTACTGTAAAATATATTCATTATATAAAAGACGATTAAAGTTCTATACATTAGATGTAAATTAATTYTATTATCTTTCTTTCTTTCACACTTTATTTATAATTTTATACATTTTACATTATAAAGATAGATCAATGATTAATAAAATAATTTCAGTAGCATTAACAATGCCAATAATATTCATTAAGATCAAATACAGGTAACATATATCTACACGTATACCCTAAAATTGACTGTAATAATGGCGTCATCGAGATCAAAGTTATTTTAATTAACAACACTACTTTTCCTCTTTGTTATATTAATTACACTATTACTAATATTACTAATATCCCTAGAATGAAATCAGAAAATGAATCTATAATAATAATAATATATACATAAATAAATAAATATAAAAAAAATTTATATATAAAAATATAAACAATTTTATATAAACACAAGCTTACATAACATACAAAATATGTATGTGCGTAAATTAATGTACATTACGCGTTCCGGGAAATATAAAATAACGTAAGTTACAAGTATATATATAAATGTAAAGTTTATCTTTGAAATATATTCAACACGACCCTATTTTTGTTCATTCCTTTAACAGACCGAATGTCGATGCACTTTTAAAATTGAGATGTAATATATTTGTGTGTCCTCTGTATGTGGATTAGGCTGATCAACTTCCATTCTGTCGAAGTACATGCATATACATGCACTAATGACATTATTAACGTATAAGCTCAATGATATTATATATTAAGTTGTATTAGTGTTAGTAACTGGAATAGTAGTAGTATCAGTAGTAGTAGTAGTAGTAGTAATCTTTGAAGAGGAAATGCTGAAAGAAGAAGGGAGGAAGGGGATCCAGATCCCAGATAAAGCGTTTGACCCTCGCCCCTTCAATGACCTGACAGAGATATCGTTAAACTGAAAATCACTGACGTATCTCTTCTTCCACAGTCATATGTGTGTTCGTCGATCAGCAAACAAGCCATGCTGCTGATCACAGTTCTTCTGATATTTCGAAACGAATGAATATAGTAGGACTATGTTAATCTTATAAACGAAAAAAAGAAAGAGAGTAGTTAGTGAAAATATTTGTATTATTTGATTGAGAACAAATTCATTCATTCATTCATTTAATTTGATTATTTCGTTGTTGTTTTTATATTTAAAAATTTGATATATTACTTTATATTTCGTTAGTTTTGTCTTGTACAAACATGAGAGTTTCCTATCAAGTTTTCTTCATCCTATTATGTTCTTCTTCTTCTTTCTTCGTTTGCCAAGCTGAAGATGCCAAAGTTAATGGTAAGTTTTTCATTGTAAATAATTTATAATTTTTTTTTTTTCAATTAATATTTCCATTCTTCTTTATTAAATTAATCAACAAAATTTAACTTACAGCGCAGGAAGAAGCGAAGGAACAAATCGCCGCTGGTGAGAAACGTCTCGGTGATCATATACGAGCGATCTTGAAACATTATCAACAAAATGATCCAGTTGGATTACCCGGTGCACCAATACCCGATCCCATGCCAGTACCCGATATGAAACATTCGTTTTCCATGTACACCATGACTTTCAAAGAGATCAACGTTTATGGATTATCCAAATTTCGTATCGAACATCTCAAATCTGAATTGGCATTGATGCAGGTCTTCATTCAAATATATCTCAAATATTATTATTATTTTTTTTTAATGTAATTAATAATTAACAAATGATTCAAATTTGTTTCTTTTTAAGGTTTCGGCTGCATTGAGTATTACGAGACTCGATATTCGTGGATTGTACACCCTATCATCCTGGCTCTCAAGATCAGCTGGCAACTTTACTGTTATATTAACAGGAGTAAACATCGAAGGTGTTGCAAGATTGGAAGTTGGAGCTGACGGTAAATTGCAAGCTCAGGACATTGACATGGATTTAACTTTTGAAAATATCGACATGGACTTCAAAAATCTTGGCTTTTTGGGCTCCGTTTTTCAAGGTGTTATTAACTCAGTAGGATCTTTTATATTCGATAGTATTAAACCGTTCATTTTGAGAGAAGTCAATACTAATATGAGAGGCGAAGTGAACAAGCAAATATCCCAGTTACCGCAATATTTTCCCAATTCGATATCACCTTTCGACATGGCGGTTGCCGAAGGTCGCAGACAAGTTTCACAAATGGGTTACGATCCATACAGAGTTAAAGATTATAGTCAAAACGTTGGTATTTTTACTGTTATGTCATCGCACACTTGGATCACCGGGTTGGCCAGTTTTTATCGTATGGGTAACATCACCCTTAGTATGGAAAATCGGACCGTAAGTTTATCTAAATCAAATATCTAATATATATTTTCAATTCCGATAAATTGAATGTTTGTTTCAATCGTTTAAACAAGGTATATGCGGTCTTGGATGTTGGAACACAGGAGATTGAGGGAAGAACACATTGGGAAGTAAGCGTAATTGGTGGCGTCCTGTCGAGAGCAGGTACAGTGTCCTTCACCGTTCAATACTTCAGAGTTCAATTAAATCTAAGCCAACCACTTGATACACGCAAACGACCAACTTTGGAAGAACTCGATTTGGAATTGGGTAACATTCAGGCACGAATACACGGTGCCGGTACTCTCGATTATGTTATGGAAGCCAGCATCAATATACTGCCAAATCTTTTAAGGTATTAATTGATCATTTGAAAATTGACTAAAGATCGTGTGTATATTAAAATAATGATTTATTTTATTTGTAGGTATCAAATAATGGACGCAATCGAGGGACCTTTGAAGAGACGAATACAAGAAGAATTAAATAAAATTGACGTCGAGAAACTTATCAATGAAAAAATACCGGAAATAGAAGAACACGCGAAATTCTTGCAAGAATTAACACCACCCGACGAAATTATTTTAGAGGATCCTGTACCACCCCAAATACCGGAAGATCTGACTCCATTTTCGGAAAGTGAAGAGGAACGAGGACCCTCGTAAAATGTTCAACTTAAAACAAAAAAAAAAAGATATTTAAAAAAAAACACACACATACATTTCCAAAGAAGTTTTTAATCTTCGAAGAGAGAAAAAGGAAAACCACGAAAAATACTCGATGATGTTGAACTTAGACTTTTAATTTCAAAAATATAACTCTAAATTCTGTCTTTCAATCAGGTGTGGCTTTTTGCCAGAATGTGTTTGCTCGCTATTTACTGCAATACGTGCAAGTGTGCGTGTTAATACTGTAATGTAAGTCGTCAACTATGTAACAGATACAGGGAATGATAAAAATAAAACTTCCAAGTGTGATTAAAGTAACAAATTATCCTAGGATATGATGCAACATCATGCTCCGTTTGTAGATAAATTATAAAAGAATACGTAGGTAGTTATGTAAGAGGAAAAATCAAATTTGGAATGTAGTTTTCCTAATTAACATTTTTCTTCTCGATATGGAGAAGATGCATATTGCTGACAAACGAATAATTAAAAAAAAAAAAAAAACAATTACAATAATCTTATCTAGAGTAAATGGAAAAAAAAGAAAAAGAAAAAGAAAAAGAGAGAACAAATATTTTACAATATACGAAACAATATTTTATTTATTAAAATGGTAAGAAAATGAATGATACAGAGTGTCTGAAAATTATTTTTTACCAAAAATTCTAATGGAAATCTTTAAAAAAACAAACAAATAAATCTTACATATTTGAGATACTTTAATAATAATTATATAATAAATTAATCTATTGTGTTCTGTTTTTTGTAAAGTAATTTTTGCGACACCCTTTATATTTTTAAATATAATAATGTCTGTTTATATGTATGCATGCAAAAGATTCGAAATATTTTGTTCTTTAATGGTACTGTTACGCAAAGTGTGTGTGTTATGCATTCGGTTTTATCGACAGAATCAAAAGCTTACTTTTAAATTAAGTATGAAGTCATTTTAATGAGACATATATATATATACACACATAAAATTGATTTCAATTATCCCATAACAATGATTCGCAGAACGGTACCTATATATTATCTGTGTAACGCATTATTATTATTATTAAAACACTTTACTCTCGAGAATAAAAAAAAAAGAAAATTAATTTAATGACATTCGAATTAAATACAATTATTGGTGACTGTAAAGTGTGAATCAATAATCAGTAAAAAGAAAAATAGTACAGGAACTTACAAACATACTTTTGATTTTCAAATGGTGAGAGAAAAATATCCGCAAATTTTTGTTAGGAATAATTTTTCAATTTATAAATTAATGAAAATACGTAAAAGTGAATGAGACAAAGAGAACAGAAAAAGTGAAATTAAGTAATCATTAATTAATTAACTTCGCTAATATTAATCAGCTGATATTATTGATAATATTAAAAAAAAAAAAAAAGGAAAAAACCTTAATAATTAGGGTTTGATATATATTTGGTAGTTTGTATTGTTTGTTTGTTTGTTTGTTACTTCAAACGCCTTTGATGGCTGGTCTGTTTTGACGTTCGATAGGAACAATTCTTTCTCCAGGAGCAGGTAAAACAAGTCTTGGCGCTGTTATACTTAAAATACCATCAGAAGACAAGCTTGGTTTAACATGACCAATATCGTAACCTTTAGGTAATTGATATCGGCGTACGAAATGTCGCGAAATGTAACCGTGTTGATCTTTTCTTTCCTCATGTTTACCCTCAACGGTAATACATTGATTATCGGTTCTAACTGTTATTTCTTCTGGTGCAAATTGTTGAACATCAACGATGACACGATAATTGTCTTGATCCTGTTCAATACTCGCCGAACCTCCAACTTGTTCTTCTATTTCCTTCCAAGTATTTCGCATAGGTGTGAAAAAATCTTTGAACGAAGTCAATGATGGTGGTTTCATGAAACCATCTCGATTTGCTATACGTTGAAAATGTTCGTCCATTTCACGATGATAACGGTCCAAGTCTTGCCACCAGTTACGGAAAAAATCTCTTGGTACCAATGCCATTTTTTTCTTAATTGTCTATTTCTTTTTACTGCTCTGTTTGTTTGTTTATTTGTTTGCAGAGAGTCTGTAGGAATCAACAGAATGTCAAAGTTAACGTGACTATGAGCTTTATGTTTATTTGTATCATCGATAGAACAGCATTTGAATGATCGCTTATATTTTATTTAATTAATCTTTTCAATAATAATGTTAATTTTTATATAATTTAATAGAAATAAAAGATTAGAATGCAAATAAAATTAAAAAAAAAAATATACGTTAATATTAATTAGTTATGACATTGACATTCAAACCGGTAAACATATTTTGATTTCTTACTTGAGTTATTATAACGTCGCAATAACGTTATTACAACGTTTGAATATAATTTCAGAATTTCGTGTTCAAAATGAATACTTTTGATCAAAAGTTAATAGTTTATTTTTCTACATTTTTCACTTTTATCAATTTTGTTATTGAACCATTTTAATAGAATCATTAATTAAAAAAAAAAAAAAAGAGAAATTACCACGGTCACTTTTCAAAAGAAATAAAACTGCCGATTGGTCGAAACAAATCGATGCGAGCGATATCAACCAATGATCGAACGATAAACAAAACTCTTGAAAAATCAAATTAAAAAAGACGTACCTTTGAAATCGGTTATTCGTCTTCCGTCAATCTCAATAAATTATTCACACACTTGTATTTAATCGTTTCACTTAGTAAAATCAACTTGGTAAATACTCAACTTATATAGCAAGATGAATTCTTCGTATATCTCGAAGTAATCTGATCGCTTTTCGAACTTGAACTAACTGCGGCATACGACTCCGCCGCCGTTTTATATCAACCAATGGTAGCCTTTTCGAGAGATTTCTAGAAAGCACATGCGCAAATCGAAGATTCATTCTTTTCAACGACGACCTTATTACATTAATCACCCTAATGATAAAAATATCTTTGCAGTAATTAATCTAGCAAATTTTTTTTTCTTTTTTTAAATTACTTAATTTTTTATGTTATTTTTTTTGTAGTTTTACTTTTATTATAACTAAAGTTGTAATAATTGAAATATTTGTTGACTTTATGTGTTATAAGTTATGATTTATAAACTATTATTTTTTTTTCGATGTAAACATTTAACTTTGGATAAAAATATCATTCTATATTTACAGTAAATTACTTTAGTTATTATTTTTAAACTATTACTATATAATACTCTCCTAAATTTGATAAATTTATAATATCATACATTAACAATATATATTTTGAATTTCTTCATCAAATCTTTTATATATTTGCATTACTTCTAATATTTTTAATTAACCAAATGATCGATCTAAATATTTCTTCATAATTTGATGATACGTGAAGGTAAACAAAATTTAATTAAAAAACAATAATAAATTGCAAAGGTGGGGGAAAGATATTGATTGAATACATCCCTGGTACGATTGATGCTCCATCTCGTAGTTACGACTCGAGTTAATCGCATCTTTAGATCTTCCCACTCATGTTTACGTGTGGTTCATATATTGTGCATTACTTTTTGTATATCTTTCGTGAAGTGCATAACAACGAAAAGATGTTTCTCGTTCTTTCCTTTCATGCCAATGTATTAACGTAAAAGAAATTCTGGCTCGATACGAAATGTTACTTTCTATATATTCACAAATTTACATGTCAAAATATTTCAACATTTATATAAAATAATAATACTTTTTCTATTTCAGATTTCATTAAAATTAATTCAAAAATATTTTTAAATTTAATTACGAATTTCAAATAAACTGAAAATAATTTGATTCTAATAATAAATCATTATTCCCCTACATTTTTAAGTCAAAATATTTTTAACAATGTTTACATAATGATAATAACACGTTTTTTTTTCTAGAACATTCCAAGAATTATCCAGTCCATTTTTAAATAGATTAGATTATCCGAAGATGCGTATCAATAATTATTACGAAAAAGAATGAATCTGTTTATATTATAAATTCAAAATAAAAATCCATAATAGTATCATCTGTCAACCATTTTTGTAATATGACAAACACGAAGTTAGATAAATGACAATATTGTGCATTGAGTAATAATCATGCATATACATTAACTCGCTTATACGGATGGATTGATTGATTAATCATGTTCAATTATAATCTAATATTTATATGTTCTTTTTTTCTATTTAAAATTATCTTCTTACAAATACGAGAATGAATCGAAAAGTTTAGAACACATGCATTAGTAAACAAAGTGGAATTATACAAAATTTGAATTACATAACGTAGATAAAAAAAAAAAAATCTAAAACAGAAATCATTATAACAAATTATGCAAACGAAAATGTATTTGAACGATTTAAAAAACAAATGTAATTTATTCAAGAAATAAATTTTCAAATGCAACCTTGTATTGGCCGCACCTTTTCTTTACACTAAGAAAGATTTCGTTTCTTATAACCAAATTTGTCTCATCGAATTATCTAATCGTCTAAATGTAAACTAACATATTTATATTTTTTTTTTGATAATACGAATAAATAAATTCAAGTAATTTAAGGTTACGTTGTAGTAAGAAACGAATAAACGATGACATTTAAGTCACACGTTGAAACATAATATTGGAATGTTAAACGTCATTCTCTTTAGCTTTTAATACTGCAGTATTTTCATTGCAATGGAATTAAAAGAGTCATCGAAGAAAATGTTCATCCTGGAAATCGTCCAAAAATATACGCTCGAATTAAAACAAATCTATCACGCATTAGCGCTCGAGACGCCATCTTGAGGTTCAACTGAGTAACGTACGAACTTTCACGAATATTCTCGATCATTGTCGAACGCGTAACGAGGTAAAATTTAATCTCAATTTAATCTTATTATACAGTAATTTCTTTCTTAAGAATATAAAAATAAAACATTAAACATTATTATTACAATTACTAGATCTATTTATGATTATTTCTTTGAGGTAGTAGATAAAATTCGATTACAATCGTCTTATCTTATATTAAATAAGAAAATATTCTATTACTTTCTAGAACATCCTAGAAACCTATATAGCTTTTTTTTTATGCAGCCATTATTTTAATAATAATTAATAATATTGTACATAGTATCTATTACGAAATGTGATCATTTTTCAAGATTTCTATTAGAGGTAAAAAAAATCTAAAGAAATCTATTTATAAACTTTAAAATATATGCAAATATTAAAATGAATCAAACAACACTTTATAGATTTCATTAGGATATTAAAATTATTCATTAAATATCATCAAGATTATTAAAAAAATAAACTATGGCACGAAGTATAGAAATATATATAAAATATAAAGAATTTGTACTGTGGAATATTACAATTTACAAATTGTATCCATATTTTTATGAAATAAAATTCCTCCTGTCCTAGTTCGTATATTTTACGATAAATTAGGTGACTTAATCAACAGGTAAAACTTTATACGGATTAAGTATTCCTCTCGGATCCATGATTGATTTAAGTTGTTGCATCAATTCAATTTCCGATTGTGTTCTGCTCATATGAAGATATTTAGTTTTTTTAAAACCTATACCATGTTCTGCACTAACGCTACCACGAACACTAGAAATATATTCGAAAATGAATGGTTCTAATTGCGACGCTATGTCTTCCTGGTACGTTGGTATTGACACTTGTACATGAATGTTTCCATCACCTAAAAAACAAATATAATATTAAAATTAATACAAAATTAAATGCGTAAAATGACCGACCGTAAAGTAATACGATTATTATTATTATTATTAATATATCATACCTATATGACCATAACCACTTATTCTAGTAACGCGTGGATCACGTAAGCGTTCTCTTAAAACTTCAATAATTTTATAAAAATATGGAAGTGGTAATGAAACGTCGTATTTGAAGACATACCCTTCACGCAAAACACCTTCGCTAATTCTTTCTCTTAGAGCCCAGATATTCTGTGTAAAAAGAAAAAAAAATACAATTACAAAACAAAAAGTTAAAAGTAATAAAAACTTGTCTAAAGTTGTTTATTCTAATTTGTCTTTGTAACATAGTAAAAATATTGAAAAACTATCGTCACCTTTATTTTCGTAATATCAGAAGTGAGTGTACCATCTAGCACAATATTTTCATTAAGAAGTTTTTCAACAAACGCAGTGAGTTTCTCTTCGTCATGTGCCATGTGACTACCGGATGTCTCCAACAATACGTAGAAGTCATGATTGTGACCATCAGCCGTCACCAATGGATTCTGAAGACCCAAAAGTTTGGTCGAAACATCGATCGACAATTTGTCCATCATTTCGCAAGAGGATAAAATTTCGGCCAATTCTTTTTTAGCCAAATGATAAATTTTCAATACGTTGTCAAAACTGTTCAAACCTGTTTTCATTAATAAAGATAATCAAAATTTATGAAATCAAATGTATGAATAAATATGAAGAAAAAGAAATAAACACGTGACAAAAGGGATGATATTTCTTCTGATATGAAATTTTAAACGCGTTCACAGATAACGATCTCAGAATTTGCAACGACAACGTCGCGCGAATTAATTTTAGCTGTCCCATTTTATCGTAACGATGTTAATTCGAAGATCACTTGACCTTTCGCACATACCCACGTTTATATAAAGATGCGAGAAAGTCATATTGGTATATAATTCGTTTTTAGAATTGTTCCTTTTTTTGTTTTGTTTTAAACAACCTTGACTCATATTAATACAAATTTGTATCTATTTTTTATTAACGTTAATTTTTTGGTAATAACTTGAAGAAAATAATCGTATATATTCAATTTGTATAAGTTTAATTTGACTTACCAAGTAATGCGACATTTATGGCTTTGGGTAAGGGCGGACATTGCAGGGCAACTTTCGTTACAACACCTAAAGTTCCTTCCGAACCGATAAATAAATGCTTCAAATGATAACCAGTGTTATTTTTCTTTAAACCATTCAAACAATCCACGACGTCGCCATTAGCTTTTACCTGGAAAATAAATCTTTTCAAATAAATCAGAATTATATTTGTAATAATTGTATTTTTTCAATCACGAATAAAACACAAATATGAAGTGAAAAATATATTTAATTTTTTTTTGTAAATGAACTTACGGCTTCAAGTCCAAGAATATTTCCATGTAAATTACCATAACGAAGTAGTCTAAGTCCGCCAGCATTTGTCGAAACGTTGCCTCCAATCAAACAACTTCCTTTTGCACCTAAATCCAAAGGCATCATGAGACCAAAAGTAGATAAATGATTATCCAAATCCTCGAGAACGCAGCCAGCCTCGCAAGTAAGAACACCTGAGCCGATGATCAGAAAAAAAAACGAAAAGACAGGTGAGAACGTTGATCAAAAAAATTAAAATCCATTTGGATTATTGTTTCATTTCCTTCCTTACCGACCTGCCATTTCATTAGTTTCGATGATTTTATTCATAAGTTTCATTGATAATACGATTTCATCGAACACCGGTGTACTACCACCCACTAAACCGGTATTACCACTTTGTGGACAAACAGCTAAACGATTTTCATTACAATATCGTAATATTGCCGAGACTTCCTCAGTTTTCTTTGGCTTTAGTACAAGTCTACTTTTGCCTGAAAAAGTTAATACAAAATTATTAACTTGTGCTTTTCAATACTTAGATATCTTAACTGACGGAAACATGTATGATGGATGCAAATATAAATGTGTGTAAGAATAAAAATTCGATTCAAAATAAGAACAAACGAAGAATGTTCGCTTTAATTGTATCTGATCAAATATTTATTTGGATCTATTATTAAGTATACAATTATTTTTATACATACCTCGAACAGTATTTGCGAAATCGATATTGTAACCATCGCATTCGTCGGGATCGGTGATAACGCGATTGTGATCGAGTAATCTTTCAAAAAAATTAACATGTTCATCCGTGATCATGGAATATGGACCACGCTGTGTCTTATATCTTACCGATGTTAATTCTGGCTTTGTTTTTTTCGCATAATAACTTCGACACCCATATCCTCCTTGATTAACGTTCAACGTGCACGCCAAGATGCACTTTCGCAATATTCTTTGCGTTTGCATTTTCTAAAAGACTATAAATATTTTTTATTACTATTATATTATCGGTTGAACAAATCGATCATTTAAATATTAACAAATAAATAAATAAGACTAAGCTAACTTTAGAGAAAAATGGGAAGCTGTGATTTTCATCACGTTACAAATTGCATTCTCTTTACCGTGAAATTTACATACACGCGAGAGATAAAATCGAACGATAGAAATGCAATATCACGTTTACTATTTAAATAAATAAAAAAATAAATATATAGATATATATTTATATGTGAAAATATTTCATTTTCTTATCGATTACTATAATATATCATTGATGATTTAAATGAAAAAATACTGTTATAATGGATCATTGTCTGATACACTATGTGATTAAAAAACCATTAACATAATGAATATATATGAAGTTTCTCAAGCGAACAATGTGTCGAGTTACATCACGTAAATAATATACTGTGCACTCGTATATTTACATATTTTATTATTTAAATATATATCAAAGTGTTCAATATTATTAATTGTTACGAATACGTATAATGAAGATGTAACCCAACTTTCTAGCCCCTGCAACAATGATTAATTAATTGATCATACATTTTTCCAAGAAAATATAATACTAATGTATATAACATATCTTACAGTAATAAATCGATGAAAACTACTCAATGAGTTTATTGAAAATCTATGATAAAATTAATCGTTGATTGGAATAAATTCAACGTTTTCACGAATCAACGAAGAAAAACAAAATGGCTACGGGTAACAGCACCCCGGTTGGTCTATACAAATATTTCTGAGCAATGAACTCTCTCCTATCCTCTCAAGATGAAGATACAAAAAATAAGAAAAGAAAGGAAGACACGATTCAATAGAAAATTAGTTAAAATGAAGTAATAAAGAAAAAGGAAAGTAATAAAACGAAGATGTTGGTCAGGGTTCAATGGTATAAACGAATAGGAAAAAAAATTAAAGAAAAAGCGTATCATAACATTCTTATCCTTATCTAAAGTCACAAAAGGCGTATACGAGTGTAAAAGAACATCATCATCAACAGCAACGGCAGCTGCTCAGTCTCTCAATTATGTGTCCTCCTCCTCGTCCCCCTCTACGCAGTTCACCACCACCTCTTCTCTTCCTGCTCGTCTACCTCCTCCTCCTTTTTCTTTTCCTTCTCCCTCTTCTCCTCCAGCTCCTCATCGTCGTTCTCGACGAGTTGCTTCCATTTTCTAGTCGTTAATTCGCGGCCTGATCGACGGACATCGGATATTATAATCTACATCTCCACCTCCTCCCCCACCCCTCGACACGCAGAAGCGCATAGGGTCTCAAGCGATACGCCGCGTCAGTGTTACGATCTCCGAGCGGTGGGGAAAATAAGGTCAGTACCAGAGCCGAGGGAGGAAATGTTACGAACAGAGACAAAGAAAGGGACAGAGAGAGAGAGAGAGAGAGAGAGAAAAGAGGGGGTAATGGAGGAAAACCGAGAGAGATGGATGGACAGCGAGCATGCACGAAGGAGAGAGGTCGATCGAGTGGTGGACGAAGTGGGAAGGGAGCCAATCGTCGTAACGCCTCGTACTTTGCTATATATATATATATTTTGCTTCGTGTAATATGTGTATATCTTTCTCTTTCTCTCTCTATCTCTTTCATTTTCTCCTTTCATATGCCGTATGAGAATGTGTGTGAATGCTTCTATGTATTCTTACACGATATACTTCTATACATACAACTGATTGAGATTATTTAATAGCATAGCAGCGTGTTTTGTGTCGGGGACACGTGATGGTAGATTATACTTGGGGAAAGAGAAAGAGCAAAAGAGAAAGTATAAGAGAGACATTGTATAAGAAAAGAAAAGGAAAACAGATGAATGAATAGAAAAGGATGCATTTATAAGGCTTGAAAAGATGCCCGACGAGAAAGGAAAATGTATTTATGAGAGAAAGAGAGACAAGAATAGATGGAACAGAGCGAGAGGGAGATCACCAATCGTCGCTGGGACAGAGCGTATTGGTATGCAGGCGAAAGGAACGTGATCCTGTAGGGATTCGTTTTACTTTACTAACACATAGGGTAACTTGATATTTGGGAGATATAGTCTATCTTCTATGTGTTGGTAATGGAGTTGGCGCACTAACACATAATATCGAGGAGAGGGAACATGCATACAAGCAAGGACGAGATTTTTCTATGTGTGATGTACATTCATGAGTACACAACATATGAAAAGGAGTATATGTATTTACTGATACAAATGTAGTACTACACTACTACACTACTACTATTATTTCTACTACTACAAAGAAGAGTTATATTCATGAATACGAGGAGATATAGCGCATTGCTTCCAGGGGGTAACGCATGCGCAGAAGATAGTTGGCTCTCGAGCCAATTCCTCGGTGGCGGGTCGAATCATTAACTTGTTTCCCTGGCAACGTTGCTCGGACTGAACCATTGGTCACAGGATTTCCCCTACTTTTCTTACCGTACGCTCTATCGGTGGAATCGGGAAACTACGAAGCTTCAACTCGGCTTCATTCGGCTGTATACGATATCGTTATATTCCTAACCTCTATCGTAAGCAAGACTATAGTGTACAATCACCAATGCAATCGTACCAACACCAAGCGCGCATGAAGCTCACCAACGAGACTACCCAAGTAAAAACGTTCCTCGTATATAAACGTGGTCGTAAAAGCGGGATTGGCGCGACCGCGACTTCTTCCTACCCTCCGCAGCGATGCGTCGAACCTTGCGTCGAAATCCGAGACCGGTATCGGAAAGATGAACAATAAATCGATCCTATTTCTTTACCTTTTTTTATCATCTATATTCTTATTCTTCTTTACACGATTACTGACTTACTGATTACTATTGTCTTCTTTTATCGAATAATCTCCCTGATAATGAATAATTGAACAATATTTAAGCTTTGATTTCTTACATTTTTGGAAAATAAAATACATTAAAAAGATATATATGCTATGCAAGTTAGGAGACAAAAAATGTAGGATGCATCTAAACGTAAATATTTACGTTAATTTTCTATACACCTGTTTGCTTTTTATATTCACTTCTCTACGTGACATTCCAATTATATAAAACTTAATATTTAAATAGAAAATATTTCTTAGGATAACAGAAAAGAGTAAGAAAGAATTTGATTTAATCCTACAAGAGAAAGTAGGATCGTTGAATAAAACTTGACCATAATAGTTTAGGTTCGAATCAGGAGGCATCGATCGATCGTATCGATGTACCATTAGATTTCCATCGATTTATCTCGAAATACTTTCAATCGAATTTTATTATTTCGCTTATATATTGTTGGTAGATTAATTAAAAAAAGGAAAACTAATTAAATTTATAATTAGACAATACTGATTGGATGAAAATTTTCTGTAGGACAGAGGCGGACCAATCGAGTACACGTCGTCTCTACGGGGTTTCGAGTAGGGAAGTATAAACTCGACTTAGACAGCTGTGTCAGTGACGTAACTGGCCGTTAAAGACCCAGTCCCAAATCTCTTAGGGTTTCGATTGTCTTTGTTTTTATCATTTTTTTTTTTATATTTTTTTATTCATCAAAGTTATGCAATTATATTTTTTAAATAATTATTAAATTATTTTGTTAGTCATTTATTAAAGTAATTAACGATAATAGATAAAAAATAGAAAACAAATACAATTTTCAAGATATACAATTTGTTATCATATTTTTAATCATTTAAAATAAACAAAATATGATTTACGTACATTTTAGATTATTACTGAAATAATTGAACTTTTTCAATTAAAGATATGAAATAATTTATCTCCATATATATAATATATACTTTTTATTCAATAAAAATATAACTTGTAGATTTTTATTATTACCTTTTACGATTTGTAAATCTATCTCTGCAATAAATGAAATTATTGGGTTTTAATAGTAACGAAAAAATAGGAATCAAATAAATTAGAATAAATGCTTTCTGGAACTATACTGATATACAGTTTGATAGTAGGTGAATGTAACATAAATTACGTACGTTTTTTATACGATTTAATATTAATATTTTAATATCCTAAATTCAATCGAAAACAATATTGTTAATAAATTAAAGAAATATTTTATTACAGTTTTTTTATTAGAACTGTTATTTTTTGTCTTTCCATGTTTACAATTATTCCTGAATTTAATTCATTTTTGTATCGGTTAGAGAGAGATAAAAAAATAGCAATCTTACGAAAAAAAAGAATGTTTGATTTTTTAAACAAAACGACGAATACAAAAATTTATGGATGGATACTCGACAAGGGAATAAGAGTAAAATATAAAATGAGTTGAGTCTATCAAAAATGCTTTAATGAAATAATTCATAAAATAAAAATTAAAAAAAAACGATAACAAAAAAAATAAATACCTTCAATGTAAGACAAAATTAACCTGTATCATAAAAATATTATAGAAAAATTTGATACTAAATACACGTAATGTAATTTTAATTCATATTTTTGATAATTCAAGTACTTAAACCTTAATGAACTTTTGTTATATCTTAATAATAATAAAAAGAAAATGTGCAAAGTAATAAAATTATTTGATTCTTAAAATATTAAATAAAATATTTAAAAAAAAGTGTATGTGATCGAATGTACAGGGGATATTCGTTCATAGGAACGTACCTGGCTGTATCACGAGACTATGCTACAAAATCTTTGGTGGACTATAGTCTCGTGTACGTATACAAAGTCCAGTTGATTGTGTTAGTGCTCTCAAAATCGAGTGGCTTGGGGCGAGTGTTAGTACCGTTACGAAGCATGCGCCCATAACCACGGCGTCTAATAGCCCCGCCTTTTCGACGCGAACTGATGCCTTTGGGATTTGTCCTCAGTTGACCAATCAAGTAAGAGCTTGTCTCGACGAAGGGTCAAGAGACGTAAGGGAAAGGATCATTTTTGAGTTAGTGGGGGTAAGAGAATCGGTTGGAAGGGGACGATCCTTGGGGATGGTGGGATGCATGCGGGGTAGTGGGGGAGGGTAAAGCGGCTGTTGAGAGAGGGAATAGAACACTCGTGTACTTTGCGGGAGCAGGGAAACAGCAGCAGCAACGAATGCGACGACCGATACTTACGAAACTCTGCGACGTTGACGCGCTTCACAACGCTGTTTAGAACCTCGAGGATTCATATTTTTCTAAAAAATCAAAAAACTGTGTTGGCTTTCTCATAATTCGATTAATCCAAAGGATCAAAATAGTGTTCGAATCGTTGCTTTATTCGCGAAAGTGGTGAAGAGGAGAAGAAGGAGGAAGTAATAGTGGAGGTGGTGTTAGTGTTGATGGTGGTGGTGGTGGCAGCGGCAGTGGCGACGACGGCGGCGGTGATAGTGGTGGGTGGTGGGTGGTAGTGGCGAACAACGACAGCACGACATCATCAACATACAACGTTGAGAACGACAACGGTGGCCGTTCAGTGACTGTACGTTCAGAAACGTGCATAGGTGTGACTGCGCAGTCGCTATGTGAGTAGTACCCAAATGACGAGAAATGTTTCTCCTATGAGATCCATGGCTACTTGCCTGACTCGAGACTTTTTCTCGTTGCTTTTACAAACACGTTTACTTTCTTTCTCTATGTTTCTCGAACTTTCTCTTTCTCCTTTCATTCCCAAAATCGAAGGAAAAAAATTTGAGTTATACGGAACGATCGTAGCGCCGGTCTAGAAGAACTCTGAACCTTCCTCGCCGCGTCCCGTCCGTTCTTCGAACGTACCACGTTTTTTCTTTTTCTGTATAATCCAATATGTCTGTCGATAGAAAGGGAAGGCACTGTCTTTATCTTTCCTTCTTAAACGAACGTTTCTATCTTTCTCTCTATCTCTCCATCATCATTGTACGAGATCGTTATAATGTGTCTGTAAGTATAAAGTAGGAATCCCGCGTGTATTAATACGATTAGAAGCATCGTGAAGATATAGTAGGTTATGTATGTATTGTGTATCTATAGAACTTGACGACTCTCTCGCTGAGAACCGCGTGCTGCTGGCTATGTTATTATCATTATTATCGTCGTCGCGCCGTTATTGGCATTATGGCGAGATCCATGTTGCGTGCGTTTGGCCGCCCCCTGGAGGCTTCGGTATCTCGCTTCTCCCCTACCCTAACTTAACTTTTCTCTTCTCTTCTCCTCTCCTCCTCGCCTCCCTCTTAGGGCTCACACACTCGCCACCATTTCCGTCTAATCCCACGCTCTCTCTGCTCGCCGGCTCCCTCCCGTTTCTCCACGCCTTTCAATCCCGTTTCCCGCTCAATCTTTTCCTCTCGCGTCTCCCTTCTCTCCCCTTCTATACTGCGACCCATCCTACCTACCATTGCTATCGTTTGTTTGTTCGTCCCTTCTCTCTCTCACTCTCCCTCCTTTATGCGTTCTCTCTTTTTCTCCCTACCCTTTTCTCTCTCCCTTCTTTCTTTATCTGCTTCCCTCCAACCTCGCTTCGTACCAACCTACTCCTTTTTTTTCCACCGAGACTAATTATGGTGGTCGACGGACGGAGGACATTTTGTTCCCGAGTATTTTCAAAGCCATCCTAGCGTAAGATGGATCGCGTGGATTTCCATTGGATCGATATAGCTCTTCATATATTATAGGTAGGTACCTTCTTTACCGTTCGAAACTAATGAATTCTCTCTTCTCTTCACTGTATTCTTCACGGTCTTCTTTTCTATTGGCCCTACTAGCTTGCGACAGTATCGTGTTTCACTACGAATAGGCGTCGTGTAAATCTTACGAACGATAGTTTAGAAAATAGCTTCTTGTTGTTTAGGATTCTTCTTATCGAAATTTCGATTGTATATTTATTTTTTATTGTTTTTATATCAATCACCAATTTAACTTAATACACGCGGAATTATTATGTTAGTTAGGAATGCAGTATAAATTTAAATTCGACCAATGATCATCCTTCATTAAATGTGAGTGGTTTACAATGTATCAATCATATATATATATATACTACACATGCATATATATATATATATATATATATATATTACTAATTAAGGGGTTTGGATTGGTTAAATATTTCTTCGGTTTTCGTACAATGATGATAATGTGATTGGTGGATTATATTTTTTGTCTTCTCATTGATTCGTCCAATTCGATTAAGAGGTTAACTTTTTATGGTCTTGGTTTTTCCATTTTTAAAATGTTGAAATTTCTAGCACGTTGCTATTCCTTTGTTTATTTTTCTGAAGAATGTTTTCAATAATTTCAATCTTTACATAAGATGATAATGCATTATGTTTGCATTTAAAATCAAAGCTACGAAATAATATTGATTTACATTACATTTAAAAATGATCCTTTTAAAAAATTAACAACAACGATTTCCATGCTTTTTTTTTCTATACGTTTGATTTTCACGAGCACATTTTTTTCTTATTTATGATGAAAATCATTTAAAAGAATTTCATAACCTAAACGTTTAATTACATCTCAAACTTTTCCATAAATTTCAACAATGGAATATGTTTTATTATTCATTTTAAAGCATGAGAATAAAATCTAGGTTAAAATTGATCAATATAAGTATTCTCTTGAGAATATCAAATGATATCAATCTTACATATCTAACTTAATATTTTTCTAATGAAATAATTGTTTAATGCAATATATACTGATAATCGATGATAAACTTAAGAAATTACTCACTTGTTTCTGAAGAAGTTGATAAATTTTTAACTTTCTAATTCTTAATTACTACACAATATGTGTTCACACTTGTTAGCTCTATGTGATACTGGTTATGCTTACAATCGAAACCAATTTAACACCATTTCATTTGTGTTGAGGTTATGAATATGTTAATATTATAAAACACAGTTGTGTGTCAACATAAATATTTGTCAAGTTCATTGATAATAAACTGATAACAAATATTGATTAATAAGGTTAACCGATAAAATAAAAGAAACGAATTGTGTCCAAAGGTCACGTGACCTTTTTAATAAAAAAAAAAATAAATAGAAATAAAAAAGTTAACCTACACATTCACAATGAAATTCAAATGAAATGATAATTTTAAATAGAAAATATGAGTTCGAAAATAATTAAAAGATATATACTGATTAGATTAAAATAGTAAATAAAGCAATTAAGTTTAATAACTAATATAAAAATGTGTAACAATTATCGTAGTAACAGCACTGAAGATCTTCGGGTCAATTACTACATTTCAAGTAATATCAAATGATGACTGCAACTCATGAGCTTCAACAACAACAACAAAACGTTCAGCAGCAGCAACAGCAGCAGCAGCAACAACAACAACAACAGCATGTACAACAACAGCAACAACAGGTGCAACCTCAACAAATTCAACCACAACAAGTGCAAGCACAACAACAGATTCAGCAGCAGGTTCAGCCTCAGCAACAAATGCAAGTACAACAGCAGGTGCAGCAACAAGTACAGCAACAAGTACAACAGCAGCAGCAACAACAACAACAGCAGCAACAGCAACAACAGCAGCAGCAACAGCAACCACAACAACAACAAAGTAATGGGCCACATAATGTTGTACCTACACAAGTTCAGGTTCAACCACAGGTAGCAGCTAACATGCCTCAACAACAGGTATAAACGATATAAATACGTAATGAGAGTTTTGTTGTTCTATAATATTTAAAATAAACAAATATATTAATTACATACTTGTATTAGTTACAGGGAGCAGTTGCTGTGTCAATGCATCATCAGCAACAAGGTGTTGGTGGTGTATCTATGGCATTATCTGGTCAACAAGGTGCAACAACTATAACCACGATGGCTGCACATCCTCAGGCAGTTCAAGTTATTCAACAACCGATACAAAGTCAAGCATATCATTTGCAACAACTATATAATACTCAAGCTCCATTATTGATGCCTGGAAATTTGGCTCTTCATCCTGCAGGAATAAATCCATCTTCAATTCAGGTATAAAGAAATATCAAATTATTTGAATAATTAATTTCTATCATTTTACACATTGGACATATTTAAAAGAAGAATATCTATAGAATACTTTGCAGGTTACAACAGCTGGTAAGCCTTTTCAGTCTGCAGCACAATTGACACCTCATATGTTAACTACAGCGTCAACACCTGACCAAGGTACAGGTCATCCTGGTGCAGGAGGGACTAAAGTTCAAGGATTTCCAACGAGTTACTTGCCTGTACCAACTTCTGCTACTCCTGATGCAGGACAAGCATTGGTTTTCGGACAGCTTGGCGTTTTAGGCTCGCCACAGCCTCCACCCTCGTTACAACAACAACAACAGCAGCAGCAATCTGCAAATAAACAAGACCAAGTGCAAAAGGTAACATATTATTTTCATATATACTTATTACTTATTGCTCTACAAAAAATCATATTAATAATATATGAATTTTGGTTTAGTATACCACATGTACAGCGGGTACTCCATCCGGCGCAAGAGGACCAGGAATGCAATTTGCACTTTGGCAGTTTGCACCTCAAGTTTGGACTGGATTACAACCACCAACTGTTCTTACTGCTGCTCCAAACCAAATATTTATTCGAAGTCCTACACAACCTGACATGTTTATTCAAGGACCACAACCCATCCAAGCCCATAATGGTTAGTAATTGCAATTTCTATTTTATATATTTACATATTATTTCGATAGCATTTGGTTAATCGTAAGAATATATATTTGTTTGTTATAATAGCGTTAGCCACCCAACAGCAGATTCAAGGAGTACAGCAAATTGCGGCCGCTAGCGGGAAAGCCAAGGTAATGGACATACAACAATATCAAGCGATGAAAAGCAAGCAGAGCACGGGAGGACAGAGGCCACTTAGCATTTTACCATCGTCGCTGCAAACTGTCAATATACGAGCTGCAAGTTCTGTTTCTACACAAACTGTTCATGAAGTACAAGTCACGGTACACGCACAGGTTACTATGATTACATTTACATCAGTTAGGAAAAGAAATTTTTTTTAATTGGTGTAAATGTGTCATAATGTATTGTAAGCTGTGCTTCAGCATAATATTATTGCCAAACTCAATAATACCGGTATAATATATTGTTCACTTTCTTCCCCTCTAGAGTGGGAAAGTTAGCGGGAGCGGGAGTAAGGGTCGTGGTAAACCAATTCAATCACCTCAACAACAACAGCAGCAGCAACAGCAACAGCAGCAACAACAACAACAACAACAACAGCAACAAACGCAACAAGCGATGCAACAACATCAACAAGTGTTCATTCAGCAAAAGCAACATCCTCAACAACAGCAACAACAACAACAACAACAGCAACAACAATTACAACAACAATATCAGCAACAACAAGTGCAATCTACTCAACAACAAATCCAACCTAAGCCAATGATGGGTAAGATATATACTATGAATATTATTTCTACAGGTAAGGAATATAAATGGATGCTTTTAATAATTCATTAAATTAATATTTGTCACTTTTATCTAGCAGGTATGGCTTTACAGCAGCAACAGCAACCACCTGGAGTAGTCTTAAGTAGTGAACCAAGACCTATAATGCCTGTAGTATCGGTAGGAAGTGTTGGGGTTGCTGCTGCGTCACAAATGAATCAAGTACAACAACCTCAAATGTCTGCCGTACAACAGCTTCCAATACCGGTACAAAGCTATTATCATGTAATGTATACCCTACTGCTACGAATATAACTATATATTATTATTATTATYAATTAAAGTTATTGCATTTACAAATAACTCATGCAACATCTTTGACAAAGTTTGTTTTAATTATTTTTTTTTTTTTTAGCCTATCAATCAGACAATAATAGGCAATCAAATAGTAGGCGCAGCATCTCAAGTTCAACCTGTACCAATAGTAAATAGACCAACTGAACAACAGCCTCATGATCCTAATAATACTGCGATGATGATAACGTCGCCTGATCGTAATCATCAACCTGACTGTTCGATAATACTTCCATCAACAATTCTTCCTCCTGCTAACGATGACAGTAAAAATATTAATAAAAAAGATGAAGTTTTACCAGTAACTGTGGAAGAATTGCCAGTACCTCCATCAGATGTATCAGGTATGTATGTGTGTATGTGTATAATTTAATAAAACAAAATGATATATATCAATGTTTCTTTTTTCTTTTTATAAAGATACCGATAATTCCAAGCTGCAATTAAAAGACGAGGAAAATAATACCTCAAAAACGGATGATAATAAAACATGTAACAATCCATTAGCAGGACTTGCCAATACAGTCAATTCTATTACCAATGGCGCAACTAATGAAGAATCGACGAATGTTTCTGTAACTGTTCCTTTAACAGCAAGTAGTAAACATGCACCTCCTAAGGCTATGGTTAAACCACAGGTTCTTACCCATGTGATTGAAGGATTTGTTATACAAGAAGGTATATTATATAAATATGTTTAATCAATTTGTTGTTGCTTTTATTATATATTGAAGTTGATGAACAGGTGAAAAAGATCAGAACATATTGTTTTGATTTTTTTTTCTTTTTTTTTTTTTTTACCAATCCAACTTTCCTATGATATTAAGTTTGTATATTATTTATAAATGTTCAATATCGAATATTTAATATTAATTAAGAATGTTTTTGTTTACAGCATCCGAACCATTTGCTGTTAACAGAACATCTTTGAATAATACAATAGGCCAAGAGACAACGAATATTTTAAATCGTAATAACTCGTCCGAAAAAGATAATTCTGATGAACCACCAAGTATGATAAATTTAATTACAATTGATTTTATTCTCTCTCTCTCGTAAAATTTGTGTCATATAATAATTCGTATTAATATTTTTAAATCTAGGAAAGAAACATGCTTCAAATTACAACGTAGACGATGATGGCAATAGTACTCATACAGGAAAATGTGAAAATTGTGGTAACACGATAGACGAGCAAAATATTAAATTTAAAAAGGATAAACGTTTTTGTTCTGCCATTTGTGCGAAAAAGTTAGTGCTTTATTAATTATTACTTTTCGTATTTCTTTTTTTTTTTTTTTTTGCATGATTAATAATGAGCACATTAATAATGCATGCCAATTTTCTAATCGATTATAATTATTTTGTTATATAAATTTGCAGTAAAAAACGTGAATCGCGTGAACACGATATCATGGACAAGCAATGGTCAGAAATGGAAATTGATATTAAAACTAACGATGTAGATAATAAACAGAAAAATGGAGAAGATAAATCGTTATTGACGACAACTACTGCTTCCTCCGTCGATGATTCTACACCAAAAGTGAATCCTGTTAAATGGACAGTACGTATACGAGTCTAATATTTATTTTTATTAACAATTTGAGTCCCAAGAGTAAATGTCAAACAGAGCGACCACATAATAAATCAACAAGAAATCTGAACTCTTGGTACTTAAGTGGGTGTTAATTGTTCAACTTGCTACAACTTTTGATGTGTCAGGCTTAATTTTAATTGAGATATGCAATGATGTATTGTATATCTCATATGTATGAGATATGAAAATCATCCTTTAATTTTTCTAGGTAGGAGAAGTATGCGAATTTATTCGCGGCTTACCAGGTTGTGCAGATTACGCAGAAGACTTTGCCATACAAGAGATCGATGGACAAGCTCTTATGTTATTAAAGGAAGATCATTTGATGTCAGCGATGAGTATTAAATTAGGACCAGCATTAAAAATAGTAGCCAGAATTGATTCGATGCGTATAGAATCAATGTCCAATTCCAATCCTACATCTAACAGCTCATAAATTTATTTATAATTCTGTGCATTTTGATTGATTGATTTTTATTTGTAGACTATTAAAGTTTCAAATAATAATTTATGAGCTGCTGCGGAAGGGTTTTGTGCAAAAGATTTATTATTCGCGATTCATTTAATAAATGATAAAAAATATATTAACATTATTTTGCAATATCACAGAAAAATTTACACTCGTGTTGTAAATATTTTTTTTAAATTTAATATTCCAACGAAAGAATCTAATTCAAATAATATTATTTCTATTATTCTGTTAAAAGAAAGAACAAGTATTATTTATCAAATTGGAAAAAAAAAGTGCATACAACATCATAGGAAATAGAAGAAAAAAGAAAAACAAACATAATTTTATAAAGAGAATTTTGCAATCAGTTGGATTATACGTTTTAGATCATTTTTCATTTCTTGTAATATTATTATTGATAGGATTATTGTAAATATTTGTTAAATGGTATAATTATAGGCACGTAATTATATTCTTAAAAAGGAAAGCTATTTGCCTAATATATATATATATATATATATATAAAAGAATAAAACATAAAAGTATTTGAAAATATTTCTATGAGATACGAAAGAAAATCATTGCAAGTCATAAATGTGTTTTTGTAAGCTACTGTTCGATCATATATTATATATAAAATATCTTACTTTTTACAAAATTTCGATATACGATATACATTTTGACTTATAATGATTAAAAATTATCTTTCGAAATCGTGTGTAAATAACACATATTATATACATATATATATATAAACGCAAATGGATCGACAAAATTGTGTTAATTTGTAAGATGAGTGCCGTCATGTATATTGTATGTATGAATGTTTTACAAAAAGTACAATTTTATATAAAAAAAAAACAAAAAGAAGAATTGCGTACAATTAACAAATAGTCAAGAATCTGAGTACAAAATGTGTCTATTATACAGAATACAAGCATTGTACATAAAATGTTTAGAGATACGTGCTGTACTCTGCGTTTCAACAAATATTATCTTGAGTTTGCATTTGAATGAAAAAAAAAAGAAAAAAAAAGAAAAGAATCATTCTCAAAGATCATTTTCATATTGTAATTACATTACATTACAATTATCTGCTATTAAAGATGCAGATTTGTAACATTTGATGAAAACATACATTTCCGGTACTCCTGAACATATATTTTGTAAATGTATCACTTATACTACTACTACTACTACAGGTAGCTTTTCAAATGTACATATTAGATATAAAATGTTTATTTAATATACAAATTTTATAACAACATCCTGTTTATTATGATCATTTTATATGTAACTTCCTACATCATCATCATCATCATCATGGTCTTCGTTTTTTTGAAATCTAATTTTTTTCAATGTTATCATTTAATTGTAGTTTTATAATTTTGTATATAATTATAAGGAAAAAAAGAATGTTTATTTTTACCCACAAAAAAACCTATTCTCTATACGTATAAATAAATTGAAGGATTTGTATATTTCAATTGAAAAGAGTCACAATTTCACTCATTTTATTATTAGGAGTATTACATTATGAAGTATACCTTTTAAAAATAATTATTGCATTAAATATGGTATAAGTAATATGAGATCTATATTGTATTTTTTTTTTTGCCAAAATTATGGTAAAACGCTGATCTACAAAATTTGTAAATGATTTTCATTTTCACAGATATATTTTCAACAATAACAAATATATAATTAATTATATTATCCTACTTTTGTGTGTCATCATATCTCCCTAAGAAAAAATTGATTTTAGGATGGACGGTGCCTAAACTACAAAACAAACTTTTTTTTCTTTCTTTTTGCATGATTGTCTACGTTTAAATAATATTTTGTCATAATATTATGTAGTTGGAATATTTTCCAAATCCATTCCTTCACTTAAAAGCTCTCTTTCCTTTTCTTTAATCTTTAATTTCCTTTCAGGTACAGTATACAGAAAATATGTAGCAGCTGAATATAATACCATTGCTCCAGTCATTACTGTTACTGCCATGCATACATTGACAAAACCTCGATGAAATTTGTCATAATAATATTCCTTCTTTCTTGTACGATTTAACATATTTTTATATTGGTTTAATATCTGGAATTAAAAAAAAAATGTTATTTATAAACGTTTCAACACATTTTATAAAAATGTGAATTATAAAATTTGATGCATTAATGTATAATACAATACATTTTCATCAATTAACATAACCTCAAATAATCTCTACTGAACAGAAATATTTCTCTTTTAACATCAATTTTATTATATTATAATTTTTCAAAAATGTATATAGATGCATTTGTTATTGCACTTTTTTTTTGACACATTAATCAAACATTTACAAATATTAAACACAAATTCTACTTCTTTTCTAACCACACAATTAAAACTGTAAATAATTTAACACTTATTATTATTATTATTGTCTGTTAGTATTTAATTAAAATTAAATTATATTTTTAAAATATTATAACTGTTCATACTTCTATTTATATCTCAATTTATTTATGCACAGGTATTTAAACTTGATTTTATTATAAAGTTGTTGATGTCCAACACAATAATACCATAAAACTGCACTATGTCAGCATGCATATATCAGAGAGAAACCTAATTCGAGGTTATGTCGCTAGATGTCACCGCATCGTCAATATTTCTACTATGTCAGCATGCATATACAAAAGGGGTACTTTGAGATATACCGCTAGATGTCGCACCATCATTAATATTTCGTATAACTATTTTAACATTAAATTGTATTACATTCTGATGAAGAATTGCTTTTATGCAATTGCAGTTATATGCAATTATTAAAGTATTTATATAACATTATGTAATATGAATTATTATCAACAGTAGATAATTTATCGACGAGTGACAGATTTAAGTTCACACAAATTACGTAGAGATAGCATTTGTTGTCTCTTTTAATTATGAGATTAAACTAAAAACAAAAAGTTCACATTTAATAATACAAATTGTTACAAACTGTAGCATTAGGTAATATTACAATTGTTTATTTCTTGATAATATATATTTATAGAAAATAATTAATTTTTAACGTTATACATACTTTATTACATAGTATAATAAAATAAATTTCTAATAGATTTTTAGTATATCACATTATCTCTGCACTTATATATATATATATATATATATATATATATATGTATTACATTTACTTTTATGTAGTGTTGACTGTGAACAATTTTTGTTTTGTTTTGTTAAATAATATATCACAATCAATTTAATTGTAACAAACGTATCATGTATATTAATGCAGATATGCAGATATATAGTAATCATCAGAATAAATAAATAATATAATGCATTCAATTGAGTTGGAAAGACAATAAGCATGTTCAAAGATCAATTCTTAATAAATATTCAATTGTCTAAGAATTCATTAAACATTTGAGAATCTACATCTAATACAATTTCATCCAAAGATGGTCCTTCTTTAGTCGTTGGTATTTCTACAATTAAAATGTTCATACATTTATTTACATTTATTAATATTTTCATTAAATGCAATATTTCAATATAAATTCAAATTACACATACTAGGTATATGTCCTGTCGCTTTATAAGCTTCCAATTCTCCTTTAAAAACTTCATCAAAAGTCTCTTGACGTTCTTTTAACATTAATTGTTGTTTTTGTTCATGCTTCGATACTCTATCAATATGTTCATTTGCCAATTTTGCTAAAAAAGTAAAAATATATATTTATATATATATACATCTTCAATAATGTAGTTTAATTTTGTCAATGTGTTGTTAAATAGAATCGTTCTCAATGTACCCTGTACAGAATTAATTTCAGATAATCTTTTTTCTTTATACAAAGCCAATTGAAATCTGTGATCCAATTGTCTACTCTGTAAATCTAACATTTCATTTAAATCTTCCAATCTGTACAATGCTCCTTCGACTTCTTCAAACATTTCTTCTAATGTTCCTACAATGATAAATCATTCGTTGATTTTTTTTATGTTTACTCTTTTGCAGAATTATTATGATATTAATTATGATATTAACAAAATACCTATTTGATCCATAAGATTTTGAATTCCATTATTTATTTTTGGAATGATGGCTAATGTGTTGTTCAAACACATTATGTTATTCCATTCGTATTCCAATTTGTCGTAAATGGAAGTTACAAGAGTATCGACTTCTTGAGCCTTAGATGCATTTTCTTCTGCCAATTCGTGTAATTCGTTCCATTGTAATTGAAAATGATGTAAGATATCTGCACCAGCATCGTAATTAACATTTCTTGATTTAACAATCTTTTTCTCTTTGGGATTTTCGGCAACTGTTAAACCTCGTATACTGTAACGTAAACAATATTTTATATTAAACTATTTTTTCCATTATACAATTATAAATATTTAAACAATCATATTTATTATTATTACCTAGCAGATAAACCTTCTTGTACTGTCTGAAATTTGTTACGCAATGTTCCAAACATATTTCTGTCAAATGCATTTACTTTTCATATAAGACTGAATATAAATAAACTAATATTTATTTATTTATTTTTTTTTTTTTCAATTATTTTATAATATTATAAAACATGTAACACGTGTAATTAAGCTTTGACTGATAAAAATTAACGTTTAACTTTTACTTATTGAAACATTTGACAAACTATTGCTTGATAAGAACTGAAACACACAAATAAGTTTATAATAATTAAACTTAATAATTATTATTAAGAATTGTTGTAGCGTAAAATAATGTTATTATAATTATTATTATTATTATTTGTTAAAAAAGAAAAGTTAAACAAAATTATCTACAGATAACGATATTATCTTGTTATTACTATTATTTTTTTTTTTTTGTCAAGAAATAATTATGTTAGTAGAAATTGACGTGTAGTTAATCAAATAAATATCAAATGGTTTTTGTAATGTAAGCAAATGTAATTTCATTTGTAAGTTAAAAGAAACTACATTATTGAATTTCCATTAGACTTTGATCAAAACCAAGTTAGTAAAATAGCATTAGTAAAACATAATAAAAATATCAAAAAAAAAAAACAATAAAGCAGATGGAGGAAAAGAAGAAATCTATTTACATATAGTTCATAGTTTTATCTTTAAATAGAATTCATTAACATTAATATGCACAATCTAAGTCCATAGAAATGATTTATTTGTTATTAAACTTACAAAAAAAAAAAAAAACAATCAAAATAAATTCTACCAACTATTAATGGCAATTCCCCCCCCCCCACATAACATCAAAAACTTTCTAAAACATTTTTTTTTAAAAGCTTTTAAACCCTTTCAAAAAAGGTTTCTAAACAAAATCTTTCTACAAAGTGTGAAAATGTCCACGTTTTCAGAGACTTGAAAAAAGATGATTACTCTATCAGTCAAATATTATAGAAATGTTTTTTCAAAATATTTTTGTCAAAAATCTTTTATGAATCTTTTTTCAAAATATTTTAGAATGATGTCTGCAAGGTTTCTTCTAACAGAGGGTTTTTTTTTTGGAAAATATTTTTACGAAACTTCCACTGAAAGATTTCAAAACTTGTGTTATATGTAGGAACTGTCTAATTTATATTGAATGTGACATTAAAATTACAATCAAATAAATTCATAATTATATAAATGTTACTATACTACTGACAAGAAGAATAATAAATAGCATAAACAAAAAAACAAACCAAATTTATTCAATACATTTTATAATAATATTGTGTTGATATGAAAGAGACATGTTAATTATCATTTATACAATGTTTCTATAATGTTATTCAACATTGTACACTTTATTCATTCTATGCATTTTTTTTTTTTATGAATTTTAATTACCTGTTTACGCATAATAATTGACTTAAATTATTTACCAAAGGTTATTATTAAAGTAGCAAGAAAGAAAATAATATGAGAATAAAACAAAACAAAAACAAAAACTAGAATGATTATTATTCAATTTCAAAGAGACATTGTTTTATATAATGTAAACGTAATAATTTAATAGTCATGAAAATATATATATATATATATATATTTATCTACATTTTCTATTTATACATATTAATAAACTATTTAATCAATAGTCTAGATATATTATCTAAATTATTATCAAAAAGTTGACTATACGATAAAGACAGTGGTGTAAAATAAATATGACGTCACTACGACGACGACGACGACCAACTATAAAGCTGTGTTCACCAATTAAAGCGACAATTTCTGTGTCTCTTGCAACAGGAATTCTCAACACGAATCATGTTGCTCTCTCCTGTCTCTCTCGCTCGCATTCGCGCATATGTATGTGTGCAAGCAATTTGGCAACGTCGCTAAGGCTTAATCCGGCCAGAAGGAATGGAGGAGCCTAGCAACCAACCAACCAACCAACCAGTGAGGTCAACAAACGAGGTCAAATCACAGATTATTACCTGCGCAATAACGTCGAAAATAATGATGATAACTGATGTAAATTTATTCATATATTGTAGATTTTTTTTAATATTACTATTTTAACCTATTTTTTGTTACATTTCTATATTTATCTTCTTTTCTATCTTTTTTGTTTGAAGGAAAATAAAATATTAGAATAGAACAAGCAGAACATATTATGTATATTTATAATGGGAAGAGTTTTAAAACTTGATGATCTATTTTCGTCGTTCTTTAACGAAAATAATATTTATCTCATTGAAATTATCTTATCGAAAAAAAAAAAAAGATAGAAAAAGAGAAAGTTGAAGACGAAATCGAAGGATGAAATATTAACAGTCTTGTGTATATTTTATAACCTAGATAAATCCGGTTAAATCTACTAGCAGCAATATAAATTTTGGAAAAGGGAAAGAGATATAATATAATACATAACCCCTACAAACACACATGCATTATATATAGGACATGCGCGCGCATGTCCGTCTACATACATACAAATCTATTTTATGTAAGATAAAAGTATCAACCACTTACAACAAGAATTTCAGAAGATAGAAGCTGAGAAGGGAGACGATGGTAACGATGATAACTGGTAGTGGAATGGTAGGGAATTTCTGAGACAGTACTATTCCATTTACACATATATATATATATATATTTGGTATATAGCTGGTAGATAAATTTTTATGAATATGAAGTAGATTCAAAAGAGAGAAAGGGACAAAGAGAAGAGAAGAAAAGAGAAGGGAGAGAAAGATAAAAAGTAGCAGAGTTAGAAGGGAAATAGTTGGAAGGGAGAAAGGCGTGGCATTCTACAATCGCTGAAAATAAATGGAACGTAGTATTGCATGCTAGCAACGTAAGCAACTTTGTGATATTCAACTATACTATACTATACTATACTAACTCTGCTGCAGTTACTTATGCTGATGATGTTATTTTTACATTTTCAGAATGTTTGGTTATTTACCGACGATGACGAAGTAAATTAGAAAAACTATTTTTAAAAAATATATATATATTTATATATCTAGAAAAAATAACGCCAGCTATACGTTTAAGAATTCCCCAATATTAATCACTATATCAAGGTTAATACTTAATTAATTCCGACATAACCTGTGTGCGAGAAAAAGAAAGAAAAGATAAAGTAGAGGGGAGAAAGAATTCCTTCTATAAATAGCAATTTCATAGCCACAATAAAATCTTTAGAATACCAATAATACGCTATGGTAGAAGGTAAATCGTGTAGTCAAATGGTTGGATAGTCGAAAATCCTTCAGACTTCTTCCCTCCCTCCCTCGACGCATTCAGCAAGCATAAGTATATAAGTATTACTTCAGCAAAAACTCAACAGGAAGGGAATTAAAGCTGGAAAAGTTCTGCGCAACTCGTAACAAACGAGAAGTTAGTGGGAGGAGCAGCCGAGCATGGCAGGTCAACGGACTTATCGAAGCGTCTCTTCTCTTCCTCTGTCCCTCCTACACCTCTTTCATCCCTTACTCTAACTAGTATATCATACTACTATATCGTGGTAATCCTACTCTCCCTTTCCATTTGGTTTTCCATTTGGTTTTCCTCCCCTTTCTCTCTCTCTCTCTCTCTCTCTCTCGCTCTCTCCCCCCTTTAATCATGGAGATCACCTCTTTGCGCAATTAATACAGTACCTGCTCTGCTACTGATACTGATAACAAGCAAAGGACGAAAAACGACGGGTAGGGATAGGATCAATAGTCAATGCAATGAAAATACTGACCAGAAATATATATACCTACATATATATATATATATTTAATTATTTAATTGCATGTCTCAGCTTTATTTATCAGAGAAGCGGAGAAATATGAAATGCAACGACGAATCGTATTTCAAAAGTATTGATCCATTTGTAGAGAACGTCATCATTATTTATTATTCCTTTTACGAGTCACCTGTTATATTTTACGTAAGCTTGTGCATAGTAATCATTCTAAATAATAGATGTTAAAACAGCATTGCATCGTTAACCTTAGAAATGTTAGTCTCTTGGCAATTTCGTTGTTATATTGAATCTCTTACGATATTTTATTGCATTTAATAATATTTATTATAAAAATTTATATTATTATAATAATAATTAATTATTGTAACAAATTTTTCAAGCTAATTTAAAAGATTATAATTATTACTAATTTGAGCACAGAAAGCTTTTCAAATGTTTTGTTGTTTGTGTACGCGTGCAGCGTATGCACACGTGTCTCTGTATGTGAGTTTGCTGCACAAATGTCCCTGAACAGGCAACACACTACCATATGTTACGATCAATAGAGACGGTACATTCGGCCGTTTTCGACATGTTCCGTTGAATTCCCCTACTATATTCGTCCTCGACGACCTCCAACCATTAACGACCACGCCTTACTTGCTTGCTTTCACGATGAAACTGATTCTAGAAAATGCAACCTAACGTTCCTAACGTTTCTCAAAGATTTTTTTAGTTATAGTCATCATAAAAGCACACGCCCCACTCCTACAATTCTACGTGCATATAGTTTTTTTGTTTGTTTCTTTGCTATTGTAATATATTTGTTCATACAAAGTTGCTTATACGATATATATATATATATATTGTAGATAATCGTCCAGTAATCGATCATTCAATCTATTATAAATAAATAATTTGTCAATTCGTTGTTTGTTCATAAAAAAATGTAAAGGAAGAAAGTGACTATCGCAGGCCATAATTGGATAAATCGTTGAAACTCGCAATTGTATCCGTTTACAACGAATGACTGACAGATTGCAGGCAGGTTGCAGCAATTGGTAGTAGTAGTAATTGCAGCAGCAGCCAGTTGACGTTGAGGAGTATATATAGCTGGACAACTGCGAATGGAAGGAGATTATTGAGGGATAAGAAGGGGAAAGGGAATTGATACAAATACAAGAGCGTTGAAACTGTGAGGAAAGAAAAGAAGGTGGTGAAACAAGCGAAGGGATCAGAGGAAAAAGGAAAAAAGAGAGAAGGAAGAAATAGAGGTAGCAATTATCCAGCAATGTTGTAGGTACGCCTGCGCCAACGTTACATCACTGCAACTCTCCCCATCCAACTCTCGAATACATATAAGGTTGACTTAATTTCAATTCGAGCTGTTTTCCATCTCTCTCGCTTTTAGTTTCTCTATCTTTCTTCCTCCCATCAAGGCGAGCCTTTACAGTCGTATTCATCCACCTGCTCTCCCTGTATACTTGTTTGGAATTTCATGCAAAGGGCTTACATGAGAATGTACGCATGCGTCGGCGTAACTATACAAGTAGTACGCTGTCGGGAATGAACCCTCGAAACTGATAAAGGAACGCAGTACGCGGTAAATGGTGGGGGAAGTTAAGCGAGAACGGCGGGGTGGGAGGTAGAGGTAGGTAGATAGTAAAAGCGTTATTCCTATAAAGATTGAGGACGAGGGACGATGGAGGCGGAGAGAAACCACAAGTGAGAGGGTGGGAGAAGCCCGGCGTGGTTGCTCCAAACGGCGCACGCTGCTCCATGCTCGTCGGCCATTCGCGCGCGCGCGCGCGCGCGTCCTTACAAAATACAACGGCAACTGAACACTCTGAATCCGACGTTGAGAACGCGCTTCAACAGTTCGCCACGAATTCACACTGAGTTGATTATCCTGTCGCGCGGTATCATCGTGTGGCGCCGCCATATTGGCGGCTCAATATAACACGTACTAATAATAAAGTTAAGATAGGATACGGAACAGGGCTAACGACGGCAGTCAATGTGTCGATTCTACCATCGTTGAACGGTCGCTACGTCAATGTACTATTTAATGAAAATGTTGTGAGATTATGTTTTAACATTGTCAGCCATGTTTGATCTGATGCGAGAACTCGAGAGGGCCTTACTATTCAAATGATAACAATTCTTCAACGCATCATCGTTTCTCTTTATTTTCATTCATTTGCGGATCTTCTTCTATTTTCTTTTTCAAATTGTTAATTGACGTAGAAAATATACAAAGATAAATCATCGTATGGTGAAGAGAAAACGAAAGAGAGAGAGAGAGAGAGAGAGAAAAAAAATGGAATAAATAGATAGATTTGGCGCCTAGTCAGTCATTTTGACGCATGTTGGTAATTTGACGTATTTAATTGGCGTATTAAAGCGCGCGTATTTAATTGGTCCCATTTATCAACGAATATACTTTACGTGAATTCATTATATTGATAAAAGATTTTTACTTGGTCCAATGATCTTTATAAAATATTATTAATGAACTTTTATTAATTATTGTGATACGAATCCTCTGTGATTATTGGAAAGCAACGATTTTAATTATCACAAAATATTGAATATCAGAATAATCGGTAACCGGTTTTTTCAAAGTTTTATTATTGTATAACATACAATAGTGTCCTGCATAGAAGTTTCAACAACATGAACTTATGTTTATAGCTTTTTGACAATTTTCATTGTTGGCAACAATGCCTGTAAGTACTATTATTATATATAGATGCATACATACACACACACACACACACACATGTATATGCAGAGAGTTTAATAAAAAAAAGTAAAAGAAGCCAAACAGTGTTGTCGTATTCTGTAGATAATTTATTATTGTGTATATAAATATAATAAAAGAACACTTAATAGTTATTATTATAAGTCTGACTAATAAAATAATATTTAATACAAAATTTTTATTATCATTTGCAGATCGGAAATGAATGATCCATTAGATAACGATATAAAAGAATTTGGTTTGTCCACGAAGGATAAAAATTATAAGGATAACAACGTGGATTTATTACAAGCATTTGGTATGTGATTGTTAACTAACAATAATAAATGTATTGTCTTCATAGAAACAAAAATTATACTAAACTATACTAATGCACACCATTTTGCAAACATTATGTATATATATATATATATATATATATCTCAATCTAAAGCTATCTTTTTCTTTGCATTTAAACATTCTATAATATCTATTATAGCTTTAGAAGTTACATCTTTCTATTAATTCTTTGAGTGCTGAATAATTTTGACCAATGTCTTTCATAAGGATAGAATGTTTTATTACTAGTGTTCTATTGATTGACTATATTAGATGCAGGTAATGATGATTATATATATAATGTTATTCTCCTAAATTAAATAACATACAATAATACTATGCATTCACAGCATTCAAAGCATTAAAAGACCTATTTATTCTATAAACCTCTTTTATCTTAATTCTTCTGAATTTTTTGACACTACCATTGACACAACATTTGTAGGTTTTCATTAATAATTCAATTATCCTTGATAAATTATACACATATAAAAATGAATGATTTAATATCCAAATTTACATTGTTAAATCTTATTTTGAAATAATTTACATATTATAAGAGTAACATTCAACTAAAATGATTGCATATTTAATTGATAATAGCTATACCTACCATGAACACATTTCACTATTTATTTTCTACTATTCAATTAGTTCATTAAAATTTATATAAATACGCACATACATACACATAAATATGTATATATACATCATAATTAAAATGTGTCATTAAATATTCAGTTAATAATATTAAAAATAGATGACAGATATAAATATTCTTACCTTATTTTATTTAAAGTAAGGTTAAGTTGCCTTTCCCTTCTTTCTCTTGTTTCTCTCTTTCTTTCTTTCTCTTTCTCTTTCTTTCGATGATATTATTTATTCTATTTTCTATATTCACATACAAAATAACTAAATAAACACAAATTTCACATGACACGACAATAATAAATTTCACTCGATAGGATCGACAAGTAGTTCTATGTTGAGGTGCGTAATAAGAAAGTGAAATGTGGCGGGAAATTCGTATATCGTTAAAATGAGCCAATAATATTCGTTCTTTGAATCGTATCGATTTGTTGTCCTATTTTCATTTAATAACAAAACAAAAGTCACCTACTCTTTGGTTATTAAACAATTTATATTATACTATATAAGAAGTCATTTCTCGTTTTTATATATATATATATATATATATTTATATCTTCGTATTTTTCTAGTTCGTAATCGTATTGTTTTCCTAATTTACATCTTTGAATAGCAAGTGTGGTTATCGATAAACTAGAATATTATATGCTCTGAACGATCAACGAATCATCTGCATGGATGTGAAGTTGTTGATGGTGAATATTAGTGTAATCAATTTAATAAGACGCAAAAGCGCGGCAAATAGTTTTAGATTGTTTTAATAAGTATAATACAATTTTGAAAATTTTAATAAATATAATACAATGTTTTAAATGTTACTACTTATTAATTTCTTAATATAAATAAAGGTTATATAGAATTTATGTTCTTTATAAATTTAATATTGTTCCTTTTTCATAATTCTCCTCGTGTAAGATGTTTATATTAAACTGAGAAAAATAAATTGTTTCTATTGTTACAGATGAAGAAATAGATAAACAAAATCCGTCATATGATTTATCTGGTCAGTTATTTAATTGTGAAATTTGTAAAAAACAATTCGCTACGAAGAAGCTATTAAAAAATCATATTTTTACTCATCTTGGAAGAGCTCGCGTGGTACTTAAGAGAGTTTCCAATTTGAAAACACTTAAAAGAAAACACAACGATACGTACTTTTTGAGTTCAGAAAAGAGTCAATCTTTGAAATTAAAACTTAAGAAAACGACTTATACTGATCCACTCAAATTAACACTTAAGAAATCGTCTGTGTCAGAAGATTTTATCGTTGTCAGTACTAATCATACCGTGAATACAATTAATTTCTCTACGGAAGACGTGGCAGGTGAACAGGATTGTAATGAACAGAATGATGCTGAAGAAACAGATAATTCAATCAAGCAAACATTTGAAAACGTGATGGTAGATCAACAGGTATGTTTTTTTTTTTCATAGATTACAATTGTTTCTTATGTTACATTGTTCAAAATTATATTTCTAATTTTTATAGGACGATTATGAGAACGCTCAATTTGAATCTGACAATGAAAATTCTTTGGAAGAAAATGAAAGACCATCCTTAGACATTAATGAAGGAGATTCTGGAGTAGGAAGTGATATGGCAAATCCATCTGAAAAAGAAGATCAAAATGTTGATGATTTACACGGGACTGATAATTATAATAATACAGAAAAGAGGCTTTCAGAAATAGAGGATCATGAAGAATCAGATGCCTTAGAAGCAACATGCAGAGAAACGATAGAAAATTTAAAAAAGTTAGGAGAACAATCGAGGTAATTTTTGATCATGTTTATATATTTACATTAATCGATTGAATTATTGTAAAATGTTAACACTTTTAATTTAAAAATATACATGTATTATATATATTTTCAGTTCTAGATCTATAAATCAGTTAATTAATGATTCTTCCGTTGATGAAGATAATGATACGGTGAATGAAGTAGACATGTTACACGATCTGGAAGAAAATCCAGCTATAAGCATTATTTCTAAGTCTTCCACATTTTCTAATCATTCTGTATCTGAAGATGATCCAAAACAAGGAGTAGTAGACACAGAGACTGGATTTAATTGGAATCAATTATCTACGGATTTAACACATAAAGATAAACTTGGTTCAAAAGAGAACGAAGATCATGGAGAAAATTCAAATGAAAATAATATTGAAAATTCTACATCGCTTTTGCAAAACTTTTTAATGGATAGACGTGATCATCATAGTGAATTGATATCAAGCAGTTTAGCACCAGTTGAAACTGAATATGTTTCTTTAGAGAAATTAGCTGAAACTGTTAGCATGTGTCGTGTTTGCAATGAAAAGTTTAAAGATATAACGCATCTCGATGAACATAGAAGTAAAGTTGGTCATTATCAGTGCAATATTCCGGATTGTGCCAATCTTATTTTTCATTCACCGATGGAAGTTTCCATGCACAAATCTCAAGTGCACGGAACGTCGCTTTCTCCAAGTGTTAGTCAATTGTCTCCCCATTTAAATGCGAATTCTCCTCATTTAAATCAACATTCGCCACATTTACAGCAAACCTCTCCACAGTTGAATACACATTCTCCACATTCTCAGTCTATGGAATCTCCATCGCAACTTAGTCGAAATTCTCCATTGACAGCTCCTCATCAAACAAATTCACCAACATACAATGCTGTCACCAGTAATACGAATCAACAAGTAATACCACCAGTTAGTTTCGATCAATTACCGGCACCTGTACAACAATTAGCTCAACAAGTGCAACGTATGCCTCTTCCACAAACACAATTACCTCCAAGTCTTCCACCGGGAGCTAATACGATGATACCTGGATCAAATTACTTTGTACCACCGCCAGGAAGACCACCATTGTATAGACTTCCTGGTCCACATAGTATACACTACCAGCCTCCTTTATCTCATTTGTACCCACAATATGGACCTGGTCCATATCCACAAATGACTGGTCCTCCACAAATGACTGGTCCTCCACAAATGACTGGTCCTCCACAAATGCATCCTCAACTTTCTCAACAAATGTCACGTGGTCGATATCCATCAGTTCCACAAAATACTAGGTTAGATATAACTGTAACAAATAAAGTTAATTATAATTGTAGTCTTGAGAATATTTAGAATATTTGATTAGAAAATATATATTTTAATGTAAGTAATATGATTATGAATTTGGTTAGGTCGCCGCGTATGCCTCCAAGTGGCGCTGTTCCTCGTCAACGTTTGAAAAGACCAATGCAACAAGGAGTGCCATTACAACACCAACAACAGCAACAACAACAACAACAGCAACAACAACAACAGCAGCAACAGCAACAACAACAACAGCAACAACAACACCACCAGAATAACACTGCTATTAAACAAAGAAGGTTAGATATTTTAATGCCGGATAGAAATGAAGATGCAGATTGCCATGTTATCGCACAACAGAAGAGGAATGATGGATTACCTGTTATACAAAATGTTCAAGGAGCTACAACCCAACAAACAACCAGTAGAAATGATTCAACAATACATCTTACTGATTCCATAACTCTTAGTGTTAGACAACCTGGTAAGTTGAAAATGTAATTAATTTTCTAATAATACCAATATTTTTGAGAATATTATTCACTTTATTTTACAAATGCTAATAATACTTTTGTTAAATAATTTTATTTTATGACGTTCTCTGAGTGATTATTTTTTCATGCTTTTGTATATTATATTTGTATTATTTGCATTTTTATATTTTTTATATTGATTAATTTTATTAAAGTGCCTCTTCTGACAAATATCTTTTTATTTATTCTTATTTAGTTATTGTAAATTTAAAAACTTTTTATCTATTGCTATTAAATGTTACTGCACATTTTGCTATATATTTCCATTAATTCGATGTTAATATTAAAAAAATAGAAGAGGTATTTTACAAAAATACATAAATATATTACTAATCAAAAGGTTCTACTCCAGCTCAACTTCAAAATACATCAAATCCTGGTAGTAAAAAGTCAGATGCGAAGGCAGTGGCAAATGTATTGGCAGCTAGAGGTATTACCGTAACTCCAGCTGCAAATAAAAATAAAGCCAGCGAACAAAGTAAGCAACAATCACCAACATCGCAACAAAGGCCTACTGCGCAGCAGTCTTTAAATGTTCCAGCCCTTAATTTGAATTCAGCAATTTCTATTATACCAGCGTCACAAAGGAAGCAGCAAGAACAAGGACAATTTGTTGTTCCTCAAAATAAGCAAAGTAAATCGCAATTGGGAGATGTAGAGCGGCCACCTAGACCACCTACGGTTGATTTAACTCAAGATAATCCACCTCAAGTGCCAGTAATACGACGAGGAAGGCCTCCAAGGTATGTAATGCATGCATTCAAATTATATTTGATTTTTTTTTTTACCCGTATATTTGATCTATTTTAGACCAATACTCACTTGTCAAATGTGCGATAAAAGTTTCCAAAATCAAGATATGCTGACACAGCATATGGCGACACATAGATCAATAAATAAACTTCTTCACAAGTAAGCTCTATTTATTATTTTTTTTGTTAATTATTTAAACTAGATGATACAACAAGATGATGATTAATGAAAGTATCTACATTTTATTTAAAGGTGCAATCTATGTTCTGCTCAATATCCAACAGCTCAAGCATTAGTTACGCACAAACAAGCTTATCATAAAGAAGTAGAAACTCTGACGCAAACTGGAAATATAGAATTGGCGATACCGGTAGTAGATTTAAAAAGTCCGCACGTGTTAAGTCGTTTATCAAATTTGGGAATTCAAAGTTATATACCATTATCTCAATTAAGTGCTCAAACGGGAGGATATTTTGGCCTGCCAATAATAACAATAGATGGTGCACGAAATCCTAATACGTGTAATTTAGGTGCACTTGGTGCTACATCGATATTAAGCCTTGGTCCTCTTAAACATTTGTCTAATAGGTAACTAGGAAGAAGAGGCTCTTTGGTAATTGTACTAATTATTTTGTATACTTTTTTTTCAATCACCATTTACCTCTTCCTGTATTTTTGGATAAATTCATATATTCTTATTGTTTCGTTCCATGACTTGTTATCATTTTGATCGGATCTTTTCTTTTTTTTTTTCTTCTTTTATAATTATTCATTTTGATTTGATGTATGTGCATATTATTATTTACATTTATTTAAGTAAAGTCTTAAATATTAATATGATTTTTTTCAATGAACAATATTCTAGCTTTTAGTTTGAAAATTAAAGATTAAGATAATCAGAATATTGTTTAAATTTACTTATTATTTGTAAATAGTTCTAGAGCAATACAGTATTCTTAATAATGGTTAGACAATTTTTTCAATATGTTTATAATAACATAGAGAGAAAAAGAAAGAGAGCGACAGAGAGAGAGAGAGAGAGAGAGAGAGAGAGACCCGAGAGAAATACAATCAGTAAAGTATGTATCATATATTTACATATTCTGCACTTAAAATATAATAGCACTTTTGGAAATAGAGTATTTCAATGTGCAATTAATTAATGTAATATATATTTTTTTTATACAAAAAAAAAAAACGATCAATGTTTATTCTCATTTTCATAAAACATACTTTATTAGAATGTTCACGAATAATAATCATTTTCATTATTTATAACTCATCGGGTTCGCATAACATTTTTTTTTTTTCCCCATTATTACACAAGCAGTACAAAATAGAACGAACTTTTTTCTTACAGTCATTACTTTGAATGTAAATTTAAACACATAAACACAACAATGTATTTCTTTCTATTATATTTTATTAAATAATTTTAGTTTAAATATTAATTTTTTGAAATGGATATCAGAAAAATTCGTTGTTTAATTTATGATAGATGATTGATCATAAAAGTTTCGATTAATTATACACAAAATTATATTAAATACAAAATATTTTGCGTTAATAAAATGAATTATAAAATTTAAGATTATAAAAAGTATTATGCAACAAAAGCAATCTACTTACTTCATGTTTGTTGAAAATTAGTATTGATTTTAATATGAAGTATTTTCTATTAAAATTATTTATGATTTTTATATAATAAAAAGAAATATACATTTACAGATGTTACAACAATTAACATAACACATCGATAGATAATTTTATATTATATATATAATGTGATTCTAATTAACATCATATAAAAAAAAAAAAAACACATTACGTTATTAAAAAGAAATTTAGGTATTATATACAATTAAATTTGTGCTTGAGGTTTAAAGTAAAACAAAAAAAAAACAAAAAAACAAATCTATTTTCATATATATTGAACAAAAATATGATATAAATTGAGAATATACAAATTTATATAATTATCTCTTAATTTGGACATTATATAAACTTGCGCGCTTTTTTTAATGTTATTAAAAAGTTTTGTATTTAGTGGACAATTTTGCATTTACTACAAATGCAAAGTGCACAAAGTTGCTGATGTACCTAAAAAGCAGAGATTTCTTGTCTGCTAATTTAATAAAATAGTATATCTCAGAAATTTTAATCGATCATTCGTTCTTGTTATATACAGGATGTAACCAAAATAAGAAGTTAAAATTTAGGAATTAGATTTCTCGTACATCGTGAAGAAAAATTAAGTTTTTCTTTGATGGAAATACTGGATTGGAATAATAATACAGAAATGAATTTGTACAATCGATCGTCTAATTTAATTATTTCTTTCTTATATTTCTTTTCTCTATGTATGGAGGAATCTATTCTGTAAATTTTATTTCGTATTTGTGTTATATCTTATTTTTGTTGTATATATATATATATACACACAATCTTACTACTTGCGTCCAAATAAAAATAAGAAGTTCAGAAATTATAAAATTAAAGTAGCACCATGTTATTTACATTAAATCATACAAAATTTAATAAAATTGATTCTTTTCTTTTTGTGTTATAGTTTATATTTCAAAGTATCAAACAATGTATATAGTTAAATTTTTAAAGAAGGACATGCACACATACAGAAATACATACACATACTGAACGATACATTTGTTTATACAAAAATTGTATTATTGAAATTTCTACGTAGGTTTGTACATAAATGTTTCAAATGTGCATATACCTACTAACATCCTATTTATAATAATCGATAATTATAATTAACAAAATAACAGTACTTGATTATTATTTATTATCATTCCTATTAATGATATATATATATATTGTTACTTGTAAATAACTATTTTACATTTATTATCTTGTTTTTTCCTGCTTTTTTTTTTTACACACGTTTCATATGTATTTGGTTCTTGTATAGATTATAATAATAATACCGTCAGAGCAAGAAACTTAAGAACTGATTTAAAATAATAATATTACTGTTGTATATATTTGTATAATAATAAAAAGCTGATCAATATAATATTTTGATTAAGTAAATAGATATTATATATATATATATATATGGAAGCAATCAGGTATTGCAAAAACAATTTCTTTCTTGTTTAATCTAAAACAAAATATACAACAAATTTTAACAAACAATTATATCTTACATATTTATTATATATACATCCTTATTTATATATTTTTAAATAAACATTACAAGTTTCAATATTTAATTATTAGCTAATTTTAAGTACCAAATTCAAAATCCTTGTATTATTAATATCGTCATTGATTATTATTTTTATAATAAATGTATACAAAAATAGTGTATGTTCGAAAACGTAAGTTTGAACAATTGGATGTGCATTAATGATTTTTGAATTTTTCGCGCTATTTTCATTATTCGAAAGAACATATTGATATAGCCAATCAGCGCGCGTCACTACCATGCAATGTCAAATTGTCTTTTGATTTGATGTGTAACATTGTGCGGTGTGAGTATGCATTAATGTTGTTCCTTATTATAATTAAACAATTCATTATTTTCGATGTTTATATCGGAGTGAATAAAAGGAATATTGTTTACTCGTTTAATAGTACATTTGTTGATATGTAAATTGTTGTTACAAATAATGATAGTTAATGTCTATTGATTTTGATTGATGCAGACATCATGAGAGACAATGGAATTGCTTTTATTTGTATTTATTTTTTTAGATTACTATAGTAACTTAAAAATTTATAATTTTTTAAATATTAGTAATAGTAGTGTTATATAATGTTGCAGTGTTATAGGTTATAAAGTTATTTGTGTAAAATTTCAAGAAAGAGTCCTTGGTATGTGTAGTATGTATATATTAAAGTTTTTAAATATTTATCTTGCATTTATCAAAAGTATATTTCAAATTGTTAATTTTTACATTTTTACATTTTAGTATTTCACAATGAGTAGCGGTACACTAAATTCCAAGGCAGAAAAATATTTTTATAGTTTAAGTCCTTTGGCTCAACGTATTGGCGAAGACATAACTGTGACAAAGGAAGCTTACGAAGGTCTTTGGAATACTTTGAGTATTTCAGAAAGGAATCAGGCAATTAATGAAACTATCATTCGACCCGAGGTAGCTTTGCAGTATGCTGTTAAAGAAGTTGAAATTTCAAAGGAGTTACCCGATTGGTATCCAAAACTTCGTATTCAAACTGGTATGAAATATGTTATCGATGAAACAGGATCTGTAAGTATATATTAAATAATTAGAATTGTTGAAAATCCCAACATTAAGTCTATACTATCAATGTCTGTCCTATTGCAGACATTAAAATGGCGAGACGAACACTCTGCACCATTTTCATTTATGACTCAATCTCAAATGAATTTAAATTTAATAGATCCCAACGAAGATTTAACATCCAAATGTCTTAGATCACATTTTGGAGAATCTCCGCATTTTTCAAGTCCCATTAAATCTCAAAGAAATAATTCTAATTCCATAACCGATAATTATAATTCTAATCAAACTAATCGTTACCACCAATCCGAGTGTTATTCCAAAAGTTTGTTCGAAGATGAACCGTGTGGCAATTTACGAAACAGCGACATAGATACTGAACACTCTGAGAGTATATTTGCTAAGTTAATTAATAAAACTTCTTTATTAAAATTACAAAATAATTTGGAAGACGATATGGAAAGTTTGGTACATGATAGGGATTCAGATAAAAGTCAATCCAATACAATGGTTGCTGTTTCGCGAACAAAGTCAAGCGATATTAATGAATCGACTGCTCTCTTAGAAACACCTAGCTCTTACAGTAGTTTTCAGTCTTCTCAATTAAATCACGATGAGGAGGAAAGATGTATACCAAAGACTGGATTTGAATTTTTAGATAATTGGTAGGTAGATTTATTTTGATCATTTTTATGCTTACTTATTGCTAGTTCAAAATCAAAGTATTCCTATAATTATTTAACTTAAGACTGTTTTATATATATATACATATATTACAATATGTACATGTAATTTAGTATTAACGACAAATACTCCATACATTTTATCTCCTCAATTAATTTTATTATATAGATTGTATATTTGATAAATTAGATTATTATTATCATCATCCATACCAGGGCTTTTTAAACTTGTTTACTCCATACTATGTTTTTTTTTCGTTATCATAAACTTATACAAATACTATATGTGCATAGTATTGCCAAATTAGTTTTGAATTAATTTAGTTATGTGATCCTATACTGTGTTGTGGTCTACACTTTAAAAAGCTCTGATTTATACATATCGTTTATCATTAGTATTGTGTGTATTTAATGCATATAGGTATAAAATAAATAATGCAATGATATACTTCATTGCTAAGTGTTATAAAACATTATACAAGATTATGTTTAATTAATCTAATATAATACATTTTGAGAGCTTTCATTATATTTGATCATAAATCTTAATATGTTTATATTATTTCTAAGTGAACATTTGATAAATGTATTATTATATTTATATAATTAAATAATATTGCCAAGTAGTATTAAAAAATTAAATAGAAAAAGAAACAAGAGTTTATCGTATAATATTTTGATAAATAATATTACTTCGTTTATTTTGATAGATGTATTTTATTTTTTTAAAATATTTTTATAACAAAAATTATAATTAAAACAAATTGTTTTTGTAATTTTAATATGAAACGATATATATGATAAAGAGGCTATAATAGTTTATTTAGATCTTATTTTACAATTATTTGCGAGAAATATGAAAGATTTTTATGTTATATCTGAAAAGTACAATACAATAAGTAAGAATAATAAAAATAATAATAATAATAATAATTAATCTTTTGAAGGCTGCTTTATTAAGAATAATATTTTAAGTAATTATATATAATAAGAACATTTATATAAATAAAATATATAAAGTTTGTATATGTAATATATAATATGCTTTTGTAATATTTAAAAAATGTATAATATGAAATTTATAAATGAAATTTATAAAACAAAAATTACGTTAGAATGCAAAAAATACTAAAATCGGAACGTTTTTATCTTAATTTCTATTTGTTTCAAATAATATATCCGTTATACACATGTACATTGTTCGAAAAGTCATATAAACAACATTGAATAGAAGAAATTTTGATAGAAGACAATTCGTGAGTCTGAAGGTGAATTTCGAAGAGGACGGTGCTCCGAACATATACACGGTAATTTTAAACATCAATACACATTTATTTCGATTAATTAATAATTATTTAAGATATATCAAACATTATAATATACTTTATTGATATTTTCGATTGATTTAATTAAAATATACTTGTTTGATCGTTCAGTGATGACAGCTAATGAGAGAAAAAAAAAGATCTTTACGCAATTAACAATTATTTTCATTCTTAGTATTTTATTGAAATAATTTGTTCTCATAATTCTTTTGTGTTTGTATTAATATAAAATCTATTATTATTTAAATCTTTAATTTGATATGTGACAGGGTCAACGTGTGTGTCAACACATCTCTGTAAAGACGTTTCTTGTTTTGCATCAAATCTCCTTCCATATCTGTTTCGTTGTTCGATATCGTCGTCGTTGTATCGGTGTTCTCCATCATAGTCCACGCGTTTGATTTCAAATGTTCTGTAATTTGTTTTTGTCCCAATGTTTCATTGCCTTTCCATTTATTTGCAACTTTATTACAATCATATTTTTTATCAAAATTGTCCAATTCCGTTACAACCGTATTAACGCTTATAAGTTCTTTAGCTTTTTTCGGACAACCTTTGTTCAACCATTGAAAGATGTTCTGTTCTGTCTTTTTTTTAGATTGTTTAGATGATTGTTTAGATTGTTGTCGATTTCTCGATGAACTTCTTCGTACTTTCATCGCATTTTTAGTTAACAATATTAAATTATTAAAATCAACACCTTGATTATTTTTACGAATTTGAGAAGGATCTGTGTAGAGTTCCAAGGGACGTTGATAAACCGGAATAGGGGTGGGAGTCACCTGATTTCAAACGAAAATTATTTCTAATGTAATACTAATTATATTACATTTCGATTACCTGTTGAGGTCTTTGATTAATAGTATTCGTATATGTTGTTTGAAGAGATCTATAAATTGGTTGAGTAGCCGAAGTAACTGGTATGTGTATTTGTCCAGGTGCAGTTACTCTTTGGATCCATTGATGAGGTGTTGTTCTCATATAATGATTCGTATCGATGCTTGGTAACATTGGTATAGGTACATTCTACAATATATTAATTATGAAATAAATGATAAGATCATTTCAATACTCAATCTTATATTTACTTGGAAACTTGTCACCACAACAGTTTCGTAAGTTCTGTTATAAGGAAAGAGTTCCTTCTGATAACTCTTTTCATTCAAAGATGGAAAATATTGTACAGGATTAACTCTTTGTTCTTTATGATTATTAAGACAAGCGACAGGAAATTTAGGAAAAAATTCAGGTACTTCTGGACTCAAATTAGGAGCCAAAGGTTTTCTCATTATTTCATAACCATCCGTTTGAAATCTAGTCTGATGATAATCCATTTTTAATGTCAGAGGTTGATACTGTACAGCACAGTATAATTGCTGTTGTCCTTTGCAGACATTAACACGTTGTTCCTGACGATTACACTGTTGTGGTTGTTGTCGTTGTTGGTAATGCAAACGTTTGTTTGGATTTACGAACAACTTTTGTTGTTGTTGCTGTTGTTGTTCTATTTTTATTGGATTCCAAAGATCTCGTACATTTTCACAAGAAATGCATGCTTGCAATTGTATCTCAGTTGGTGCATCAATGGTGTAACGAGGTGGTTTGTATTTGTTATATTCGCTGAGTTCGCTATTTTTTCCTATCGTATCCGAATCTTGTAAAATTATGGTATAATGTATTTATTATTGATAGTATTTATATTAACAATTATTATTATTATTACTCTGTTAACCCATTTTACCGTGAACATCACTTATATAATATTATATATATATATATTATTGCAGATAGATAGATAGATAATTAAAAGGAAATACCAATAATATTACTAGGTTTATAAATCGTAAAAGATTCTCCACCATGTCTTCTCGTCCTCTTCTTTCCATTCGAATTAATCTTTAATCCATAATGTTCATTCTGCAAAACATCATTCCAGTTTGTCTTAAAATGATGATGCATTCGTGTATTATTATATTCTTTTTGCAAGCAATCGGTAGACTGCAATTCCTTCAGTGCTGAGCTTTGCGAATAGAATTGATTAGAAGTTAGCGCAATTTTGATGATATACGAAATCTTGATAATTGAAAATATCGAATGGCTAACAGTTTAGGAGGATTAAGTCTTCTAATGTTTCCTGAAATCAACCGATTGAAATGTTCTTCAACTTCTGGTAACATCCATGGTTCCGTGATCTCTTCCGCGTAGAAATGAAACGTATTGATAGATGATCGTACGTTATTTTCCGATTTATACAGTTTCTCACGTTCCTCATTATATTTGTAATTACCGTATTTTGATAGACGTGATTCTGGAATAACATCTCTTACGTGTTTCGGACAAGTAACACCTTTGTCTTTGTATTTTTCAATTAGTTTACAACTCTAATTGTAAATATATATTTATATTCATTAAAATTTCTTTCAATTTATTTAACACGTTGACTGCTGCGTTTTTAATTTTACGTAACTTGTCCAAGGTGCCAACATGAATTTTTCATTATGCGTCGCCGGTCGGTCACCGGTGGCCCTCACGGCAGCCAACGTGTTAACCCTTTCGTAATGACTTATAACAAAAATCAATATAATAAACGTACGTACCTGTATCCACAAGGATTGATTTAAATCCCTGTATAAATCTTGTTTATTGAATACCCAAGTTTGATCAGCTATTAAACTTATATTAGCATAAGCGCCATTTAAAAGCTCGTCGTCGAATGACGAAAATGATGATAACATTATCCGAACATCATAAATGATCAAACATATTTTACGATAATCGATTGGCAATCTAAAGAACCATTTAAAAAGGAATGCATGTGTTCGAGTGTGTCTCTTTGTTAATTTTTCCTAAAAACATACATACATACATACATACATACATACATACATACATAAATGATGTATCTCTTTTTAGATTTCAACTTAAAACCTTTCCTTTTTTTGTTATTATTATTATTATTATTATTATTATTATTATTATTATTATTATTATTATTATTATTATTATTAATATTGTTACCAATTAATTATCCAAGAATATTTTTTGTGATACTAGAATCAATGTGACAAGATTTATGATATGAATTTAGAAACTTTTTCATACAGCTGACTCGATTTTTTTTGACAGAACACACTCGATACACAGCATACCATTTGAACGTTTTTATTTTTTGTTTTTGTTGTTGTTTTGGATTAAAAATTTTCCAAATATTTTTCCCCAGACAAAAAAATATCTACGAGTGAACGACGAGAGTAAAAAGTAAGAGATAATCTTATTTTTGTTAAAAAAAATCTTATGCAAATTTTTTTCACCTTTATTACAAGTTTTAACGCACACATGGTACACGCACGCATTATACATACATACGTCGTTCGGTAGATTCATACGTTGTTTTTTTTTTTTTCTTATTTTTTTTCTTTTTGTACAGTTAAAACGCTTACGAATTTATTTACAAAAGATTTCAATTGATAATTTACAATGGTCGCAAACGATCGACTCACGAATTATATTCTATATATATATATGTATATATTTATATTTATATTTATAACTATATTAAATCATTATATTATTATACTACGGAGTATGAAAAATCAGTCTGGTAGCTTCGATGGCGCGCTTCTCGCGTCGATAAACGCGAAGCTTTGTAAGAAGAAAAACATAAAAAAAAAAAAAATAAAAATAAAAACAATTGTATCATCAATCTATCTTTCTATTCCTTCTAAATCATTCAATAAATTTTTGTCCTTCTTTTTCTTTCTTTAACCCTTTCGTTACTCGACATGCATCGGTGCGAGCACCCGCATGATTCTACGACGACCCGTGTATGGGTGCAGGTGGGGGTTAACGAAAGGGTTAACATTTTTCTTATATGAATTTCAAAATTAAGATACAATATTTACAGATATAAAAAGAATGAAAAAAATGTTTAGTGTTAATGCGTTTCGAGAATATTTAACTAAACGTAACAATTATTTTATTTTTTTTTTTTTCGAAGGGGGTGTAGTTTTTTTTCTTTCTTGTTTTTCTTTTTTACGGACGAGTACCCGTGTTTGCAATGGCATTAAAATAATTGGACGATGATGATACATTTAATACGAATACGAAAATTCATTATAAAAGAATTATCTAATTAATTTCATTTAAATTCGTTTATATATTGATCATCTGTAGATATTTAACACGTT